GCCCCCCCTCCATGGACATTTTGCTTGTTGCAAGTTATGGGCTTTGCAAAAACAAAAACAGCAGCTGTGATTATTCAGGTACAAGGCTCTGTGTGGACATGTTTTCCCTTGGGTTGGGGGGACGTCTGTCTCCATGGGTGTTGTCTGTGACCACGCTGTCCGTCGTCAGCCTTCATTTTGCAGTTGGGGAATTGTGCTGAACTTATAGTGTGTGTGAGGTTGTGGGTTTCTGTGAATTGCATCCTGGGATTGTCAGCAGCCCAGCGCACTGCTGATGGTATCTGGGGCAGCGGGCGCTCTGGGCTGATGTGGAGAGTTGGGCTCTGGGTCACTGCAGGCGCCCAGCACCCGGGGTGTGCGTGGTTGGACGGGGCTGTGCCAGCCCCGCGCTGCTTCCTGTGGTCAGATCTGAGCATCTTTCTTGTGTGGTTGCTGGGTTTTCGCCCTGTGGCTGAGGTCCGATGTTCTGGTGCCACTTGTGTCTTTGGGAGTGTCTCTGGGTGAGGGGCGGAGCCTAGCGCTCAGGCTCTGGGGACTGTGTCGCCGCCCGCCGTTGCCGGGTCACTTCTCCTCTTGGGCGTCAGGTTCATCACCAGGGCAGTGCCTCCGTCAGCAAGGTGGTCGTGTGCTAGCGTGCAGACCACGCCCGTGTGCACGCGGATGCCCCCACAGCTTGGCCCCCTCCACTCCAGGCAGCCTTGGGGATGACCGGGTCTCAGAGGGGCCCTCCACGGGCTCTTTGTCTCTTCCTCTCCCCAGTAAGCAGGGAGCCCCCACCCCTGGCACAGCCCCCACCAGCCCATTCAAGCCTCGTACAAACAGGGCGTGGGGGGACAGCAGATGGGAAATTCAACAAAGTTAGCATGGCCACTATGACCATGCAGGCCGCTGCTCCAGGGCTCCAGGGTCCCCAGCGCAAATGGGACCCTGTGCTGGACAGAGGAGGAAGAGGGGACCCTCTGGGGACTGGAACGAGGAGGGGGGGGTGACCTCTGTGACCCCACCCCCCTGCAGTGGTGACAGTGACAGTACTTTCCTCCAGCCGCCGGTCCTCTTGTTACCTCACTGTCTGAGCCAGGGGGCTTCTGGGAAGAGGAAGAGCAGGAGAGGGCGCAAGGCCCTGCCCCGGCCCCTGCACGGCCCCTGCCCAGCCCCTGCCCAGCCCCTGCCCAGCCCCTGCCCAGCCCCAGCCGCAGGCTTCTACTTGCACACAAAGCAAGCGCAGCCCAGGGAGGGTGAGTGCGGTGCGGAGTCCTCTACCAGGATGTGCACCGGCCCCGGACCCCAGCCAGTTGGCTCCTGGGTGGCCCCAGGGACTCGCCACAGCTGTTGTCTGCCTCGCTCACTGGCAGCGAAGGGTCCAGGTGCCCGGCTCACGCCAGGTGCTTCACGTGGCTCCCTTTCGCTCATCATTGTATTTTATTTATTTGAAAGGCAGAGGTACAGAGAGAGCGCTTCCGCCTGCTGGTTTCACTCCCCAAATGGCTGCAATGGCCAGGTTGGCCCAGGCTGAAGCCTAGAGCCTGGAACTCCATCCGGGTCTCCCACATGGGTGCAGGGGCCCAAGCACTTGGGCCATTTTCTGCTGCTTTCCCAGGCACGTTAGCAGGGAGCTGGAAGTGGAGCAGCTGGGACTCAAATCCGCACCTCTATGGGATTCCGACATGGCAGGCAGCGGCTCACCCAGCCGTGCCCCAGCACCAGCCCCATTCAGAGCCTTTACTGAGTGCCCACTGCGTGCCAGGCAGCGGGGAGACAGCTGTGAGGTCCCTGCCCGCGCCCTGGTGTTTCAGGGTCTGCAGACAATGAGGAAGTAAACTACCAGGCGCTGTGACAGCCACAGCAGCCTCCGTGAGACAGAACCAAGAAAAGCAAGCTCGGCTGTGTCTCGGGAAAAGCCCCCAGGCACAGGCTCGGGACGTGCAAAGGCCCAGGGGTAGAGCGGAACAGAGTGGGCGCCGGTGAGAGTCCAGGCGAGCTAGGGCTGCCTCGCTGGGTCTGCGGTGCGCTCAGCAGACGCCGTCCTTAGATTCGTTGTGCAGACAGGAAAGGAGGCCCCGAGACGTGAAGGCCCCCGCGGGGCCACACAGCTGCCTCCTAGCCCGCAGCTTCAACCACTTTCTTCCTTCTTCACACCAACCCTTATTTCTGTTTAGAAAAAAAAAAAAAAAAAAACGGAACAAAAACCCCAGTCCCGCAGGAACCCTGAGCTTGACAGCTGAGCTTCAGAATGAGGCCATGGGTCCCGGGCGCCAGGGCTGGGGTGTGATCGGATCGTTCTAGCTGTGCTGGGTGACCTGGGGCCGGCCTCACGCCCTCTCGCAGCCTCCTCACTCCTTCCAGGGCGACCCTGTGGGAAAGGGGTCCTCAGCCCCAGGCCCTACCCAGAGCAGGGAGGCAGCCAGGCTCACGCCGGTCTGATGCTGCCCCCTGGTGGTAGGAGCCGCAGAGCGGCATCCCTTGCCTTCCTTAGGGACTTCAGCTATGGGGCCCGGACCCTCAGAACAGCTAGCCAAGGATGCAGTCCCCAGCCCCACCCTGAGCCTTGTGAGCCCGCGTCTGCATGGGGCGTGATGGCCAGGGCATGTCAGGCCCAAAGGGGTGGGCTGTGAAGAGTGGCACGCGTGGCTTGTTCACTGGTCCGTTCAGCGCCCGCTCTGTCTGCCGAGCGCCTCCCAGGCCTGGGCCTGCCACCCACACTTCCAGCAATGTCTCCCTGCCCAGTCCCATGGAAGGGGAACTCAGGCTGGCTGAGGGGTGCCCCTGATCCAATCAACGCTAACACCTGTGGCTTCTGGAGCCTACTCCTGGGGGTGGGTGGGGGATCTTGGGAAAGTGACTGTGCCTCCAGTGTGGTTTTGGTTAATTTTTTTTTTTTTTTGAAGATTTACTTATTTGAAAGTCAGTTACACAGAGAGAGGAGAGGGAGGGAGGGAGGGAGGGGTCTCCCATCCAATGGTTCACTCCCCAGATGGCCGCAATGGCTGGAGCTGCACTGATCTGAAACCAGGAGCCTCTTCTGGGTCTCCCACGTGGGTGCAGGGGCCCAAGGACTTGGTCCATCTTCTGCTGCTTTCCCAGGCCACAGCAGAGAGTTGGATCGGAAGTGGAGCAGCCGGGTCTCCAACCGGTGCCCATATGGGATGCTGGCGCTTCAGGCCAGGGCGTTAACCCACTGCGCTGGCCCATTTTATTCTTTTATGTAAAGATTTATTTAGGGGCCAGCATCACTGTGTAGCGGGTTCAGCTGCCGCCTGCCATGCCAGCATCCCGTGTGCCAGTTTGAGTCCCTGCTGCTCCCTGCGGTGCCTGGGAAAGCAGCAGAGGGCGGCCCAAGTGCGAGACCCGCGTGGGAGACCCAGAAGCAGCTCCTGGCCCAGCTCCAGCATTGCAGCCATTTGGGGAGTGAACTGCGGATGAAAGCTCTCTCTCCTCTGTGTGACTCTGCCTTTATTTATTTGAAAGGCAGAACAACAGAGAAGAGAGATTGATCAAGGTGCCATCCACTGGTTCACTCCCCAAATGGCTGCCGTGGCGGGGGCTGGGCCGGGCCAAGGCCAGGCGCCTCTTCCGGGTCTCTGACGTGGGTGCCGGGACCCAAGCCCGGGCCCATCTTCCCTTGCTTTCCCGAGCAACAAGCACTGTGGTAAGGGATGCCCACACTGCCAAGGCCCGCCCCTCCGTCCTGGCCCCGTGCAGCGTGGTTGAAGGCTGGGGGTGGATCCGCACTCGGCTTGACGCGCGTCCTGCTGCACCCTGCCTGGTATCCCATCAGTCTTTCTAGTCGATGTCAGTACCTGTTACTCTACAGCTTAGTTCTCTATTTTTTTTTATTATTTATTTGATAGATAGAGAGACAGAGAAAGGTCTTCCTTCTGTTGGCTCACCCCCCAAATGGCCACTATGGCCAGAGCTGCGCTGATCCGAAGCCAGGAGCCAGGTGCTTCCTCCTGGTCTTCCGTGTGGGTGCAGGGCCCAAGCACCTGGGCCATCCTCCACTGCACTCCTGGGCCACAGCAGAGAGCTGGACTGGAACAGGAACAACTGGGACTAGAACCCGGCGCCCCAACAGGAACTAGAACCTGGGGTACCTGTGCCGCAGGTGGAGGACTAGCCTAGTGAGCTACGGCGCCAGCACCTAGCTTATTTCTCAATATTTAAGAGGGTTTAGTATTTATGAGGGTATTTCAAAATGTTTGTGGAAAAGTGGAGTTAAAGCCAAGTTAATTTTGTTGCAAGAGCAGTTAGCCCAGCAGTCGGGACGCCGTCCCATATTGAAAGACCCAAGTTCAAGTCCCAGCTCAGCTCTGTGTCAACTTCCTGCTGCGGCAGACCCTGGGGGGCAGCGGGAGATGGCTTAAGCAGTTGTGTTCTGGCCATCCGCGTGGGAGACCGGGATTGAACTCTGGTCTTTGACCAGCCCCTGGTATGGACTGGTTCACTCCCACATTCTGGACAATGCCAGGGGGAAGCCAGGAGCTGGGCCCTCCGCGGGTGCTGGCCGTCGCTGGCTGCCAGGGCGTGCAGGACACTAGAGGCTGTAGGCGACCCCAGCCTTCAGACAGACAGCTCAACCACAGGGAATCAGAAGGTGTTTATTTGGGTGCATAGAGCTATCTTCAGAGACTTCATGGAAATGAGTATTACTAAAAAAAATTGCAATTGGCCGGCGCCGCGGCTCACTAGGCTAATCCTCCGCCTAGCGGCGCCGGCACACCGGGTTCTAGTCCCGGTTGGGGCGCCGGATTCTGTCCTGGTTGCCCCTCTTCCAGGCCAGCTTTCTGCTGTGGCCAGGGAGTGCAGTGGAGGATGGCCCAGGTGCTTGGGCCCTGCACCCCATGGGAGACCAGGAAAAGCACCTGGCTCCTGGCTCCTGCCATCGGATCAGCGCGGTGCACCGGCCACAGCGCGCCAGCCGCGGTGGCCATTGGAGGGTGAACCAACGGCAAAGGAAGACCTTTCTCTCGGTCTCTCTCTCTCACTGTCCACTCTGCCTGTCAAAAAAAAAAAAAAAAAAATTGCATAGACTCTGCAATGTTTTGCACCAAAATAAGCTTCTCTCTCTCTTATCTCCATGACCCACAAACTCCCGCCTGTGGCTGGCTCGGCGTCCTCTGGGAAGGCGCAGGACCCAGGGGGCTTGCTGGCGGCTGCCTCTCCAGCATTTTCCGTGGACTTCATTAGCAAAAATAACCATGTGGCTTCCAAGGGGGACCTCCAGTGCCGGAGCCTGTAACCGCCTTTCGCTTGCAAAACCTCCTCCCCCCTGCTCACACAGGAAGTCGTGACAGCACACCCCCACACCCCTAAGTGCGTAACTTCTGTCCCCAGCGGGGCTGGCTGAACTCCCTTCCCCGAGCAGAGAACTGGGCAGGGGGCTCAGCCGGTCCCACAGTCTGAGGGCGGGAACACTCCATCCAGCAGAGGGGGCTGGGTGCACAGGCTGCCTGCAGACTGGGGCTGCTGCGGGTTGGGGGTCCAGGTCTCCCCACTGTCATCTGCTGTCAGTGTAGTGGGTACAACCCTCCCCAGGTTTCATTACCCAGTGTTACAGGGCACCGTCCGCGGGGGAGGGCTGTCGGGGTACGGGGAGGAGCCTGCGTGTCCACCACCGTGCCCCGCTCCTCCTCCCCACAGGCGCTCTGGCTCGTCTCTATCCTGACAATTTTGTCTAGAAGTAGCAGCGCTGGGCGCAAGGGTCCCCCGTCGGGAACTCCGTGAGCTGTCCCAAGACCCCCCCCTTCTCGGGGGTGTGAGAAGCCTGTCCCCCCAGCCTTGCCTCTGTTCCTACTAGGGTGCCAGGCAGCATGGTCTGGGGCGGTCCCCTGCGTCCTGTGGCACCAGGAGGAGCCGTCTGGTGTCTGGGAGAGCATGGGCTCGGGGCCCCGCAGCTGGGTCACGGACCCCTGCTGTCCCTGTCCTCCACAGGTCATCCTCCTTCTCTACGCTGGGCTTTGGTGCCCGCGTCGGGTACCTGGTGGTTACACGTGCCTGTCGGGCAGCAGCGCTGGTACCCGTGTGTGTGCCAACCTCGGCACTGCCCAGCCTCGTGGCTGGGGCTTCCCCCATCAGGTCAACCCCTCCGTCTGCCCCAGAGGTTGTTTGAGTGGAGGCAGAGGACAAGGCCACTCTGACCTGTCACATCACAATGACTGCCCGGCCCTGCCCTGCCCTGCCCTGCCCAGCCCAGCTGGGGCACCCCGGGGGAGCCTGCACTCTGCCTGCCTGCCTGCCCCTGCTGTCACCATGGGGATGCATCGAGACAAGCGTTCTGAACCCCACGCTGCCCGGGCCCCACCGCTGAGACAGAAGTCGTTCCCAGCACCGAGAGGCACTGTTCCCCAGAGTGAGGGCTCGCGCTGGGGCCCAGGTCCAGCGCCATCCGTGCCCGCGACCCCAGAGGGACACTAGCCACGGGCCTGCCCTGTCCCTTACCCAGAGAAGCAGCCGCTGGCAGCCTTGGCAGCAGTGGACTGTTGCTTGTTGAGCACCCCTGCCCTACGAGGAGGGGCTTGGTGGGGACAGCCCAGAGCCCCCCACTCCTTCCCTGGGAAGGCAGGGGGTTCCCATCACCCACCTGCAATTCAGCTTGTGGGGCTCTTGTCTCATTCTGGGCCTCAGTCTGCCATCTGGGGTCCCAGAATTCCTGGTCTCGATGCCTTGAGCCTGCTTCCAGGGCGTGTGTGTGGGAAGTCCAGGGGAGGGCTCTTGGGAGGCAACAAGGGGCCAGGTGTCCCTGTGTGGCAGAGCCTCACAGCCCTCCCCCCACTTGGGGGCCGGGCTGCCCCTCACTTGGAGCCGTCCTGAGCCAAGGCTGGGACACAGTGGGGAGCGGCCTGGGCTCTGAACTCAGGCTTGTCCCCTACCCTCTCAGCCTGGTCTCCACACCTGTTCTGCCAAGAAGCTGTGATGGGTGCCAGGCGTGTACCCAATCCCCAGCTCCCAACACTGCCTCCAGGAAGCCCTCACAACTCCACCCTCACCTCCTCCCTCTGCAGCCAGGGGCAACCTGATTCATCTCCCTACCTGGCGGGGGGGGGGGGGGGGGGCTTTGTTCTGTAAAACAGGGGCCTCCCACAGGCCAGCCTGGCAGAGGGGGTACCCTCTGAGGGTGTGGTCCTTCCTCTCCCAAGAGCCTGGCTATCCTAAGGAGCCTCCACCTCCCTACTCTCCTCCCCTGAGGATGCCAGGGCCGTCCCCCACGTACTACCAAGAGACCCAAGCTGCACACCCAGGTGAGTGCCCCGCCTGGGGCGGGGTGTGTGTGTGTGTAGGTGTGTGTGTGTGTGTGTGTGTGTGTGTCTACAGCAGTGCTCAGGAGATGTCTGCCGTTCTCATCCCCGAGGAAGGGGAGGCAGAGCCCTCGGGGCGGGGCCGGGGTGGGATTTTAGAGCAACTGCCCAAGAATTCTCCGGCCTCTCTGCTGTCTGCTGTGTGAGGGCTGCCTTGGGAGGGCTGGACAGAGCACGCATACCACACCCCTGCGCTGCGGAGCCTGCGCTCTCCCCAGCCCCCAGAGGAAGCATCCGAACGCTGAGCCCTGGGTGTGTGGCACGCAGCCGTGGCCGAGCCTGCTCTGGTCCCGTCGCGCAGGTACTAGAGCGCCACGCTTAGGAAGAGAAGGGAACAGCGTCGGGACAGCGTGTTCTTTTGTCTTTCTTGAGCTGCTTTACCCAGAAGCCAGGGCTTGGCGTTCACAGGTCCAGCAGAGCAGAAAAAGGCAGGGTCGGGGGTCCTGGGGACTCGGGGCAGCCGTGTGTGCAGGGACCACAATGAGACACAGAGATGCTCTCTGCTTCTCCAGTCCCCTTGTCTCCCTCCACCGTGCTGAGGGGGCACCGACCAGAGGACCCGGGGTGGGGGAAGGGCCTGACGTGCCCCTCCCGTGCCCAGCACCCTACAGCACCATGCCGAGGGTGACGACGTCCATGCCGATGCAGACCCTGTGTCCCTACTGTGGGAACTACGTCATCACCGAGACCTCCATGGTCCCCGGCCTCCTCGCCTGGCTGCTGTGCGCTGGCCTCTTTGTGTCCGGGTGAGTGGCCCCTGAGCGTGGCTGGACAGAGGGAAAGCCCAGGGTAGACCCGTGGGTGGGTGGGCTGTGCTCACCAGGCCACGGGCTCAGGATGGCACCTGGGGCTGCCGTCACCGCTGCGTGGGAGCACGGCAGGGCAGCCCCCCTTGGTGGGGTGGCCCCAGCTCACAGGCCGCTGCCCCCGGGGCTGCAGGTGCTTCCTGGGCTGCTGCTTCCTCCCCTTCTGCGTGAGGAGCTTCATGGACGTGAGGCACACGTGTCCCGTGTGCAAGCAGGAGCTGTTCCGGCACCACCGCCTGTGACTGTCCAGAATAAACGAGGTCGCCGCCACGCAGGGAGGGCTGACTGCCTGCTCGGCCTCCGGGGAGGGAGACCTCAGTGCCCCTGCTCAGCCCACCCCCAGCGCCTCCTGGCCGACCCTGACCGCCACGGCTCCCACTGCTGCCTCCGTGCCTGGGTTCTCTGTGGCGCTCGCCCTGGCCTGCCCTGTGCAGCCTCCTCTCCTCCCACCACTCCTGGGGTCACCCAAGGCGCACCTGCCCCCTGCCCCAGCGCCCTCACTTGGATGCCCCGGGGGCCCTGCTATCCCCCACAGCTGGAAACGACTCCCTCTCCACTCCTCCGAGGGGCCGAGGATGGGATCCCCCCAGCTTGCCCCGGGACCTCCCTCTGCCAGTGGTTGGCAGAACTGGCCTCAGTGAAGTGGGCAAGAACCAGCTGGCTCAGCCCATTAGCCGAGCACCTGCCTCGACGTCACCACCCTCAGACCAAGTCCCTGGGACCCCTGGGGAGCTGCCCCTGCCCCCAGCACTGAGAGGTCTGCTCGCTCACTTACCAGCACAGTCTTTGCTGCCTGCAGGGATGCCCCGAGGGGCCGTCAGCCTCCTCACCCCATCTCCGCTCTGTGACCCCCGTCAGGTGGGTGAGCTCTCAGCTTGTCCTGGCACCCACCAGGGCTGGCGGGCAGCTGAGAGCGGGCGGTTGGCTCCGGGGTCAGTCGCTGGATGAGGAGCCAAGCAGCTCATCCTCACAGTGCTCCTAGGGTTGGAGAGGCCCAGAGGGACCTGCAGATCGGACCCTTTCTGGGGGAAGGGGGAGTGGGAGGTGGAGCTAAACCTCACGGCACAGCCAGACAATTTTACAGTTCTGCCAACTACGACTAATACCGTCCTACACATCAGCTTCCCAACTGAGTCTCCCAGAGGCTGGGGAAGATGCAGTGGCCCCGAGTGCCGGGCCTCACTGCGATGCTCACACCCGCCCCGGCACCCCAGGACGGCGGCACCAGCCCTGCCCGCGGCAGCATTAGCCAAGCTGATGCTGGTCCCAAGGCGGTACCTGGACAGGAACTCGGTTGTCCACCCAGAACCGCTCCATCAGTGAGAACAGGTGCGTGCGGAGGACGGCACTTTGAGGACGGCAGGTCTCCGGCCCTGCAGGCGTTCCTGGAAGCCTGGTTCACAGGCAGAAGCCAACTTGCCTGCATCCCGTCATGCCAGCCAGGGACGGCCGAGCTCTGGGAAGATGGTGCTGAATGCGAGGCTGCTCCCCTTCTCCTACCGCTGAGAACCAGGGAGCTGCTTGTGAGCCAAGTCTGCTGCAGGATGGGGAGGCGGCTTCCAGCTCGAGAGCCAACTCACCGGCCTTGAGGACTGGAGCTTCAGTGGCCAGGGGCAGCCCCGAGGTCCTGTCCAGCTGCAGCCAGCAACCTTCCTTGCCCCCACACCCCCACCCAGGCGCTGACACTGCCGGTGCCGACGTCACAGGGCGGCTGCAAGGTTTACCAACGAGGCCATGCCCTAGCCCCAAACCACCACCTGCACCTCCCAGGGCTGAGGCCTCAGCCTCCGTGCCCAGGCAGCCCTGGGATGTCACCAACAGAGCCCCAGGTTCCCAGGGAGGCTGTGCTCTGCCCTCAGCAGGTGCACCTGGCAGTCAGGTAAGGGATTGGGGGCTGTGCCCGTGCGTCACGTTGCCAGGTCAGGGCTCTGCATGACACAGACTGTGGGCCCCCTTCATGGGGCCCAGCACACAGGCCTTTCACAAAGGCTCTGAGGCCGGCTTCTTGGCTACCATCCCCATGGCAGGCTTGGCCAGAGCCGAAGGCCAGGAGGCACCCACTCTGCCCCTTTATCAGAGCAGCACCGGGAGGGGTGGATGCCCCTGGCTCTATCAGTGGCCACAGGGCTGCCTGGCCAGACTGCCCCTCCCAGCCAGGAGTCCTTGGCTGGCAGAGGAGTCACACCCGCTGCAGGGAGGGGCCACCCAGGCCAGCTGAGAGCCATTTCTGCTCCCGCCCCCACCACGCTGCTCACTAGGCCAGGCCACTGTCCCCAGCGACCCTTCCCTGCACCCATCACAGCCTCGTCTCCATCCAGGAGTGGGGCCACCCAGGCGCTCTGGGCCCAGCAGCCTCCCCCACCGAGGTGTGGGGCCTGGGGGGACTCTGTTTACTACTGCGCAGGGAACGTGCCTGACCGCTGCCTGGGCGCTCCATCTGGGTCTCCCATGCAGGTGGGGACCCTTCACTGCCGCCCGCCAGGCTCCACAGGAACAGGGAGCCGGAGCCAGGAATCGGACCCCTGCCCAGGGAGGATGGGGCTGAACCCCACCCTGGGCACAGCTTCTCTTGAAGAGGTCATAAAAACACTCCTCCAGCGCCCTGTGCGGCCGCCCCGCCTCACTAGTGGGCCAGTAACTCAACAGCTGGGAGGAGAGCGGTTAGCACGCACCCAGTCCTGGCTCCTGCTGCCACACTGACACCTTCACACCCGGAGCAGGAATCTGACTCTGTTCACCCAAGGCCTGTGCCTTTCTTTTGTTAAGATTTATTTATTTGACTTAGGTAGAGCCAGAGAGAGCGAGGTCTTCTACCCGCTGGTTCACTCCCTAGATGGCTGCAGTGGCTGGAGATGATCTGATTTGGAGCCAGGAGCTTCTTCCAGGACTCCCACATGGATGCAGGGGCCCCATGGACTTGGGCCATCTTCCACTGCTTTCCCAGGCCATAGCAGAGCTGGATCGAAAGTGGAGCAGCCGGGACTCGAACTGGTGCCCGTGTGGGATGCTGGCTCCGCAGGGCAGGGCTTTAATCCACTGTGCCACAGTGCTGGCCCCAAGCCTGCGCATTCCAATCCAGGGGTCAGTAAAACGACACGAGGCCTGTGTGAGTGCAGGTCTTCATGCTCCCGTTCCCGCGTCGTCTGAGGGGGACGGGTCAGCTGGCTCAGCCACCCCCGCACAGGGACCCCGAGGCGTTTCACGGGGACCTTGGTAAACTGCTCAATGTCCATCCCAGACGCCATAAAACAGCTCCCTCAGAACAACCTGCTCTGGGATGCCAGTGTTGCCCAGCCTGCCCACTCCCCAGACTGTCAGTTCAGGTCCACCTGTCCCACTTCTGATCCAGCTCCCTGCTAAGGTGCCCGGGAAAGCAGTGGATGATCACTGAAGTGCGTGAGCCCCTGTCACCCACGTGGGAGACCCAGTTGGAGTCCAGGCTTAGCCCCGAGTTGTGTGGCCATTCGGGGAGGGAACCAGCAGATGGAAGCCCTCTCTGTCCTCCTAACTCTGGCTTTCAGATATTTAAAAAAATAAATAAGTGTTCAACTGTGTCAAGTGTGCACCTGTGGATGCATCTCTAGTTCTTAGCTGTACAAGCCACAGAGGAGGGGGCTGCTGCCAGCCCAGGCGCTCACGGGTGTCCCACTGCTGTCTGGACAGCATCAGCACACTGTAGACGGGTTAAAGGGAGAAGACCAAGAGCAGTTTCTTCGCTTCCATCATCTGTAGAACTAGAACATCTACGCCTGTGTCCCCAAAGCCAGAGTAACAAACTGCTGACACTGCAACTGGGAGCGAACAGAAAGAACTGCAGCACGAGAGGGACATGCCACACAGCCAGAACAAGCTGCCAAGTATTAAGTATTGCAAGGGAGGAGCAGTCTTCCTGCAGAGCCAGAGACCCATACGGCCTGCTCCTGTGCCACTGGTGCAAGGCACTGGCGCACCAGATGGCACACACTACAGTAGGAATGGAGACCGCAAGTCGGCCCCCGGTACCAACCAGCCTAGAGATGGAAAAATCCCTGTCCTAGGCGTGGGCAGGATGAGCCAGCAGGACGCTGGGCGGGCAGGCAGGCCCTGACCCAGCACAGGAGAGCTGTGTTCGAGGGCCCCACTTCTAATCCAGGTCACAGCACTCGAGTGTGCAGGCCTCTCTGGACCCCTCCCCCCGCAGACCCCTAAAACACTTCGTATCCCATTTGCACACGGGGCCCTTCCATCCCGAGAGCATTTTACTTCTCAAACTCACACGCTACTGCTAGTTAAGGGGGCACCAAGGCAAAACCCGACCTCCACTGCGAGGGAGAGCAGCCCAGGGAGCCCTGCTCAGCGTCGTGGGTTCCACGGCCAGGCCCGGGGCGCAGAGACCCTCCTCCTACGCCACTCACCGAATTATACTTTTTATAGAAAATTTTATTCAACATACAACATTTTCCAGCAAAAAGGCAATATACAGGAAGAGTTGGTGTACACTGCTGCTACAGGAACAAACAAAAGATGCTGGGCAAGGATGGAGATGCGTGTGATCTGCTGATCTACTGCACTGCACTCAGACTAGACACGCGGCGTCAGCTCCAGAACAAAGCAAACGAGGCCGGGACCGAGAGAACCACACGAGGAGCAGACACCAGCGAGGCCCACCTGCACTCGCCCGGCTGAGGAGCCTCCTCCCGCGGCGAAGTGTACGTGGGCATTCGTTAAATATACAATTTCATTTCTCCGTTTTTAGCTTTTTTACAAAGTCGGCAGCACACTGGCCGCTCGTGAGCATGCCCCCCCTGCTGAGAGGCGCCCCTCCTGCTGGGTCTGTCCTGCTCCACTGACCCCAGGCCCCACCCTCCCACCCGCTGCCAGGGAGCTGCTGAGGGCCGGGCGGGACCCCGGCTGCAGCCAGCAGTCTCTGCGACTCTGTGGGAGACCCCAGGCCTGGAGGGCTTTCCTCGGTGCGTCCGCGTCTGCTCGCAGGCGGGCTGCAGGGCAGCAGTGGCTGGCGGGCGAGAGGAGCTCAGGAAAGACTCCCGGCAGCTGCGGGACAGGAACCCGAGGAAGGGCCGACAATGCACACGATGAAGGAAAGAGCGCTATTTATTAGGTTGTGAGTTTCTGTTTTGCCTTTACAGATGCACAAAAGGTCATTGAAAGTATAACTGAAGGAAGGAAGTCAGACGAGCCCGGACACCAGACTTCCCGGCGGCGGCAGGGCTGGGGCCGGGGCCTGCGAGGGCGGCCGGGCAGCGCCTGCAGCTACAAGACAGCCTGGAGACCTCCTGCCAGTGACACGCTCCGCTCACCTCTCCCCATGATGCCCACAGTTGCCTTGCATTGTGGTTACCATAAAATAACTCTCATTGGCATCCAAGCTTTATAAAAACACCTTCATTTTGCTCAAAAAGGGCAGTCAATAGATACAGAGAAGCCAAACTGAACAGCCTCAACAAAATAAAATTAACATCAGCAGCAGCTCCTCTTGCTGAAGACGGGCTAGAGCACACGTGTACCAGAGTTCTGCGGCTGTTAAAAAGGGGCGCGCACCACGCGCCACCCCCGCCTCGCACACCCCGGGGACACTCAGTTATGGATCTTAATAGCCTTCTCCAGGTACGTGTAGCGACTCCGCTTTGGGGCTTTGTTGAAGTGGTCGAGCCCCAGCCACGGCCGAGGATGAGACATGTTACCTGGGGGAGGGGAGAGAAACGGCTGAGGCACCAAGCAACCCCTCAGCTCCTGCATCCAGAGGGGGCCGGCAGGAGCCTGGGGGGAACGAGGGCTCGCCATGCCCACTGCTTGCTTCCTTCCAGGAGGTCCTGAGCGGACGTCACCAGGGATGGGAACTGCAGAACTGATCCCAAGGCTGCCCACCTCCTCCCAGCCCCACGCTAACACAGACGGCTCTTACCAGGCTGAGGCTCAAAGTCTTTCAAGTTTACTTCATACTCATCTTCATTTATATACTGGTGTCGGCCCATCATTACAATTGCGAATTTAAACTAAAAGACAAGAAAAAAAAATCAAAACTCCTCTGTTATTTCTGTGCAGTGGCCCAACTCCCATGTCCCGAGTGCACAGGCTGCAGCCCGAGCCGCCACAGCGCTGCGGGCGGGAGGCGCTACCTTCTCAAACTCCTTCTCCTGGATGTCCAGCAGGCTCTGGATCCGCTTCATGACGTCTCTGAAATGCTCGCCCTGCAACGGCAGAGGCCCGGCTCATGCACACCCAGCAGCCTCACGCTGACCCGAGATGCTCAGGCTGCCACTACAGAGGTCTTACCTGGTGTATCCTCAGCAAAAACGGGATACCAAATGTCCCAAACACCTCTTTGTGGAAATGTGCCACTGTGATCAGCATCTCGTTCTCCTTATCAATGTCTACCTGGTCCAGCGGTATTTCCTGGATACGTTAAACAGAGGAGTGTAGGTGCCAGTAATGTGGACAAAATAATGCCCTTTCAGCCTGTGATGCACGGATTTGACTCCGAGCCATGCCCACTTCCAGTCCTGCTCCCTGCTAATGTGCCTGAGGGCAGTGAAGGGTGGTCCGAAGCCTTGGGCCCCTGCCTCCTCACCAAAATGCCATGCCTGGATTAAGCTAGAATGATGAGATTCTAACGTGAGAGCCAGAAGATAGTTAGAGGTTTTCCTTTGAAAAGACTAACAGGCCAAATAATGTATTCTCCTAGCTACTGTGGAGAAGACAGCTGCTCCACATTCAGCAACCACTCCCAGTTCCTAAATCTGTTCCGCATCCCACCCAAGGGTCCCGGGCCCTCTCTGGAGGCAAGGGCACAAGTACCTCTATTCGAAACGTTCGACTCGTTGCAGGAGATAAACATTCTAGTAGTTCATCTTCTTGATGCACCCCAATAATCTTGTAGCTTACAATTTCTAGCAGCCTAAAGGAGAAAAAGGAGCAAACAAACATATATACATATTCACGTAACCAAAGAATAACATCAGCCTTTTTCTAGAAATTATCTATAAAGCTTCCAAGATGTACCTGGTCCTCTTTCTGTTTTCAATTTTACCAGGGTTTGAAACCTGAGAACCAGACAGGCTCTGGCCAGGTGGTCCTCACAGTGAGGCTGAGGGGACACCCCCCTGACCCCAGCTGCAGTCAGAGGACGCGCTCTCGTGTGCGCCATGGCCAGCGCCCCACAAAGGAGGCCAAGCGGGCAGGACCAGAGGCTTTGCTCACGTCCTCTCTGGATGGCAAAGTGACAGGCTAGTGCCCCGCTGGTCACCTACCCAGGCCGCCCTCCTGTGCCTGCACAGAGCCCGTCGGCAGAGATCTAGTGGACTAGCAGTAAGATGGCACTGAGGAGTGGCGAGTGTGCTACAGGGCTCTCGCGAAATACTTGCCTAAGTTTCCCTGATGCTTTCTCACCGAGCTCCACAGCCTTTTTACATTCTTCTAACAGGTCCCGGACACACCCGTGCTTGTCTGGATATAGTGTTATTTCCTAAGCAATGCAAGATGAAACAAACACTTGAATGAAAACATACACACGTGAAGGGAGAAGACACTGCAGCCTCTTCTCCACGGCCTCCTGCCGGCCCCCATGCTGACATCACGGCGGGGCTAATGTGGCACTGATGCACTTAGGAAACTGGTTGCCACCAACAGAGCAGCTTCTTGGGGAAAAAAAACCCCTCTCCCTGAGTTCTCAGTGCAGCGGGGAAAGAACGGCAGTGCACACAAGGCATCGCCGGCCACTCTGGCTGCAGCCTGGCCCCGCGTAGGCAGGAGGCACTTGAGCATCCCTCTCTACTGGAGTGGGGCATGCTGGGATCAATCAGGCCCAGGCAGGAAGGGAGAGAGAACAAGGCTGGGGTACTGCAAAAACGTTCATGGAAAAACAGAATTAAAAGCTAAGTTTATCTTGCTGCAAAAAATTTTGAAATATTAAGACGTCTCCTACTGCCCTGGCCAGTCAGCAGTGCGTAGACTGCAGGATCTCCCGCTCAAGAGAGGGTTCCTGAGGCCTCGCACAGCTCAACACTGTGGCTCGCCGAGCGCATCCGGGAAGGAGGGCTCTGGGCGGGGACAGGCTCCTAGCACCTGTGGCACTTCTGCTTCTATCCTCATCTTTCCGGGGATAGGCAGAAATGATGAGCAAACTGCAGTGAAAGTTAAAATTCAGTGTTAAGAGAAACTTACCTCTTCCCTAAACTGGCTGTTTAACCATATACACTTAAAACTTCGTCTGTTCTCAAAGTCTGTGATTTTCATCTTAAGCTGTTTAAAGAAGAGAAATTCACGTCAGCCATGCTGCCGCAGAAACCCGCCCTTGGTCTTCGCAGCCCACGCTTGCATTACTCTGCACTCGTACCTGCTGATAGTAAAGCTTCTTAGGTTGTCTAGGCTTGAAGAACTGTAGAAGATCTCTTAAAGTACCTTCATAGTTATGTCTAAGAGGATTGCCTGGGCCGTCCCTATACCTACAGAAGAAAACAGCACATAAACAACTCCACAACAGTCTAAGAATCAGCACAGTCGAGATGTGGGCCAGGCACGGGGTTCCGTAACACCCTCTGTGCGCCCCCACAGAGCCAGCGTGGCATACACAGGCCTGGCCACACAGGGACGCACTGACGTGGGGCTACATACTAGGCTGCCAGCACTTTGTCAGCTTTGTGCAATGTGGTCAAGATGTGTGTGTTGGGGGAGTGGGGGCCGCAGCACTGTGGCGCAGCAGGTTAACGCACTGGCCTGAAGCGCCGGCATCCCATATGGGTGCTGGTTCAAGACCCAGCTACTCCCCTTCCTATCCAGCTCTCTGCTATGGCCTAGGAAAGCAGCAGAAGATGGCCCAAGTCGTTAGGCCCCTGCACCCGCTTGGGAGACCCGGAGGAAGCTCCTGGCTTTGGATCGGTGCAGTACCGGCTGTTGCAGCCAATCGGGGAGTGAACCAGCAGATGGAAGACCTCTCTCTCTTTCCCTACCTATCTCTCGCGCTCTATCCGTAACTCTTTCAAATAAATAAATCTTTAAAAAAAAAAAAAAAGATGTGAGTAGGGACAGTTCTCCATCTGAACTCGGCAGGATACGGCACATCGGGTGTGGTGGCCAGGATTTCTGGATGAGCCAGGGAAGGCAGCTGAGCCTGTGAGGGTGGCTTACCCTTGAGACTTGAAGAACTGCAGCAACATGGGATCCGTGTTGAGCCTCTGGGCAACTGTCTTTGCGACCTGGGGAGGAAGCCACCCAGAAGACAGAACGAAGGCTCGCACTGGGAAGAACTTGTTCATAAACCTCACCAATCACCTGAGTGAACTACAGAGATGTGCTCCGGGTGACTTGAATTTAATCCCTCCCAAATTTAATAGAAATGAACTTTACTTCTTAGAATTATCACCATGGGACAAGCATGTCTGATGAAGAGCTTTTAAAATGTGCTTTCATTTTCAGTGCTAAGGCTGTTTGCTTTCCCATGACTTAATTATTAGACACTTGGCGTGTTATAACTGATGAAGCGATTACAACTGTTCTCTCTCAAACCAAATGATGCTGGCTAAGGGAGAGCTCAGGCTGAGGAGGACTGCTTCCGCCCCACGCCACCACGGCAGGAGCAGCCCCTGACAGACGGACTGCAACCCTCCCTCGGAACTTCCTCAATGAGCACTTAGCACAGAAACTGCTCTGTCTGGTGTGGAATTTGATGGGGGGGGAGGGGAGGGGAGGAAGAGCGTTTATTAAATACCTGAAAATAATTCATTCTATTTGATAATGTAACCACAAATCCAGGATCATTAGGGATTGTTTTATCACAGAAAATGACATCAACGCGGTGGTAGAGGTCTCTGAAATATTCTTTTGCCGTGGGTAATTCACTGTTATCATTTTCGGGGTCATCCCTGGGGGAGGGGGAGAAAATTTGCAAAGTCCATCAAAGTCCATGGCAGGCGGTCATCGCTACAAACAGCATCATCTGTTTATGCAACAGTGACACCGAGAGGCTCTGCAGCAGTAACTCAGGTTCCCGTCTCTGGGGCGAGGAGCAGCCGGGCTGCCTCCGCGCAGGGCAGGTGTCTGCACATGAGACACCGTCATCGGCGGCCACAGATCTGCTGGCTTATGTGCAGACTCACCCTGATGAATTCCCTACATGTGTAGCCTAAGGAACTTCCCATTTCACATAGCTGAAGCCAAGGGAACTACTGTGCTGTTCCGCACAGACGTCCACGCCCTGCAAAGCTCTCATGCACATAGTGGTCACTTGGAGCAAGGAGGAGAGCATCTTCACTCCATGCAAATCTCAAGGCTGCTGGCATCCCATCTAAGTGCCGGTTCCAGCCCAGCCGCCTGCTGATGTGCCTGGGAAGGCAGAGGAAGACGGCCCAAGCAAACCTGGATGGAGTTCCGGCTCACAGCTTTGGCCTGGCCTAGCCCACACTCCAGAAAAGGCCAACTGCCACCAACACTGGGATGCTTCCAACAAGCATCACACTGCTTCCTGGTTCTAAGATTGCCAGCAAACACTGAAATTAGTGCAAGGTGACAAAATCCTTCAAGAAACACCTACTTTTGAAATACGATAATGTCACCGTCCATGAGTTCGTCGAGTGCTTTGTCAAGAGACACGTCATAGTCCTGAATTCTCTCTGTTAAGTTCGGCTTAACTTCCTGCAGTGAGAGAGACAGAACAGTCACACAGGCGGTCAAAAGCCGTCTTCCCACGCACTCTCTGCACCCAATACTATTGACCAACGTTTACAAAGTCAACACAGTATTGGGACAGCTCATAAACCCCTAAGTTTGTAATAAACACCTACCCTAAGTAAAAATCACAATCTAGATACAAGCCCAGGGCTGGTAAAGCAGTAAGAACTCCTACACACACACACACACACACACACACACACACACACACCCACCCACCCACCCACCCAGTGGTACACCAACTATAGTAAAAGAAACCAACGCACCTCATAGAGGATAAGGCTAGTATCTTGGATAAATCCTGCTCTGTCACACATAACCGGGAGCAAGTCACCTAGGAGACAGAAAGTGTCACGGTCACAGCCGCAACATGCAAGGTAGAGTGCAGGGGGCAGACGGGCTCAGGGAGCACTTACGTATTTTACAGGATATGGGGGTGTAGATGTGCCCACAGTAATTCAAGCTGCGTGTTTTGGGATCATACATCTTCAAAAATAACATTACATCATCTACAAAGTTAACCAAACAGGTTTCGTTAGCATCTTAACACCTAAGACATTAAAATAAGTTAATGACGAAACGACAGCTTGAGGTCCCTCAAAGTTATGTCAGCAGAAGCTGGCTCAAGAGCCTGAGCCTAGGACAGCAGGAACAGGTGCCCAGCCAGCAAAGCCTCAGGAACTGCCACACGCGGGACAGTGTGCCAGACCTGCAGTAACTAACTAGCTGCACAAGTAACCCCAAGGATGCTAATGCTGAGTGACCACTCACAACTATGATGTCTCTACAGCAAGTATCCGCAAATTCCAACCCTGTTTTATAAACACAGGTGAGGCCAGCCCAGTCACCTACATAATTCTCTGGGGCCATTTAGCACAGCAACAGGAGACAGACCCAGCCTGTGCTCCCGGCCCTGCTCACGGTGACCACCATGACAGGGGGCTGAAATTCAAGACAGCACAGGGCATCCCTTCGCCACTGCTACCTTCCCCCGCCGCCAGGACACACACGGCCAGGCCTTGAGCATGAAGGGAGGACGCCTCCTCTGGGGCAGCCAGCTGTGCTGACACAGCCCAGGAGCTCCCCACTGCTGGAGGGCACTTACGGTCTTTATCAAACTTGGGTAATGTTGCTCCACTCGCAGCCAACTCAGGATCAACTGTTTCCAGGAATATCGTCCAGGGGTTCTCATTATCACTGAGTTCAATCATCTAGTTCCAAAAGAGACGTTCACTTTAGAGGATGTTTACTGGCTAAGGTGACAGCGTGAAAAACTACACTCTAGCACTGTAGAAAATGTCCAATTCTGTATAACTGGCCCCCAAAGGGGAAAGGGTGTGCTAACTGCAGAGAACAAAGCCTTGGCCAGAGTTCCTCGCGAGACATGCTATTGACAATATTTACTGTTTTACTGCCGTCAGCTTCATTGTCCAACATCGCCGGTCGTTTTGTTCCATTACTCCTTGCTTGCATGGGCCACAATCGAATCTGGTCTTGTGGAAATCCCTGAAAAAAGGTTTCATAAAGAAACAAGCTGATATTCCACTCCTGCATCAGTTTAATAATTTGGTCTCACCAAATAAGCTGAGGCGCTACTAAGCCACTACTTCAAGGCCAGCATCCCACATGAGTGCTAGTTTTAGTTCCGGCTGCTCTGCCTCCAATCTAGCTCCCTGCTAACGAGCCTGGGAATGCAGCAGAGGAGGGCCCGAGTGCTTGGGGCCCTGCCCCCACGAGAGACCTGGATGCAGCTCCTGCGCCGGGCCACACCTGGCAATTGTGGCATGCAGAGTTGACTAGTGCGTGGAAGGAATTTCTCTATCCCTTTCTGTCACTCTGCATTTCAGATACATAAATAGATGCTTTTTACAAAAGAAAAAAAAAACATAATTACAGCTCCTGTGCTAATCTGGACAATTGTGACCGACACTTGAGTTCCAGGACTCGAGGGTCCACTTTCCCCAAAATGGTAATGGCCGGGGTGTGGAGGGGACTAACGCTCATAACCTCCTTTGCAGGTTCTTTTTGTTTTTGTTGTTCTTTAAGATTTTATTTATTTATTTGACAGGTAGAGTTATAGACCAGAAAGGTCTTCCTTTTCCATTGGTTCATCCCCGAAATGACCACCACGGCCGGAGCTGGGCTAATCCGAAGCCAGGAGCCAGGTGCTTCTCCTGGTCTCCCATGCAGGTGCAGGGCCCAAGCACTTGGGCCATCCTCCACTGCCCTCCCGGGCCACAGCAGAGAGCTGGCTTGGAAGAGGGGCAACCGGGACTAGAACCTGGTGCCCATATGGGATGCCGGCGCTGCAGGCAGAGGATTAACCGAGTGAGGCCCAGCGCCGGCCCCTCTTTGCAGGTTCTAACATGTCTCCGAAATGCTGGTTCAAGAGCCCTGTGTTTTTCTTACATCGACCCTCAGCAAGAAGTGTGCTCCGGCCATGCACCTCGCAGCCAGGCGGGGCTGGGACACAGCACCTGCCCAGAGACTGAAAGACAAAGGCAGAACTGGGGAGCCCGAGGGCGCGAGGGGCCTGGCACGCACCATGGTATGAGAGAGGATCTGAAAAAACTCGGCCAGAGAGGAGTTCTTCAGGACTTTGAACACAGTGTACTTCACTTTCTCTTCGTCATACATGTCATTTCCTTGGTGGCCACAGAACTGGTCCTCTGCGACGATCTGAAGACAAGCAGGAACAGTGTACATGTGACATAAAACGCTGAGCCCATGCTGAGCACGTGAACAGTGAACTCGTTTAAAGATTTGCTTATTTATTTGAAAGAGTGGCAGAGACAGGGAGGAAGGAAGGGAAGGAGAGACAAGACACAGACACGGACACACACACACACACACACACACACACACACACAAAGCGCTTCCATCTGCTGTTTCATTCCTCAAATGGCCACAAGTCAGGGCTGGGCCAGGCTGAAGCCAGGGGCCTTGAGCCCCGTCTGGGTCTCCCATCAGGTGGCAGGGGCCCAGCCCAGCACTTGGGCCATCCTCCAGGGCGTTCCCAGGTACATTAGCAGAGTGTTGGACACAAAGCAGAGAAGCCAGGACTCAAGAAGCAGGTTCACCTGCTGAGCACACCTGCCCAACAGCAAACTCGTACAGCTCGTTCTCTGCTCCACAGGAGTTCAGAGGAGCAGAAGGGTCATGAAGTGGCCAGCAACTACGCGGGAATGGATCTGGAGTGGCCCAGACCGCTGCATCGCAGCGTCACTGCTCAGCCCAGGCCCAAGCACGAGTGAGCGATGGGGCTGCATGCTCCTCCCACTGTCCCCCTGCCCCTCCACACACAGCCCCTCACGAGCCCCGCCCAGTGTCTCTCAATCCATGTCTTCAACAGCCTGTTCTGGGCAGGAAGTACCTGCCAGAACACCACCTCTCTGACCACGCCCAGGGCTGCAGGCACTCTTGCAGGGCCCCGGGAGGAGGGGGCTGACCTGCACTTGCATATAGAGATGGGCTTCCTGCCGCTCCTTCCGTTTCTGAGCCTCGATCCTCTTCTCTTCTTGCAACCGTTCCACCAGCTGCTGCGGAATATCATGGTCTGTGACTGCTTGTAGAACCTCACCTGCAGGACAAAGGCAGCCTCTTTCACCTGTGTGCCAGCCCAGATGCGGGATCATCACTGACAAAATCCTCCTCCTCCTCATGCGACCACTGGGCTCCTCAGGTACTCAAGTTCAGCGCAGCCCGTCTCCGGGTGCGGCGAATGAGGGCAGCCCCGCACTCACGGCCCAAGTGCAGGGGCTCCATACTCACTCAGCTTTGACTCCCTGATGTACACCAGCATGTAGGCGTTGGTGCAGTGCCGGACGGACAGGTCGTCGTCATGGCCCCCGTAATTGTGCTCGATCGCCTCCTCCTTGGTGCAGCGCGACACCACGTCGTCATCGAACTTGCACCACTAGACGGAAAGGACCCAGCACACTCAGCAGGGAAGGTCCCATGTGCACCTAGACCAGGCCAGGCCTGGTGGGCCCCGTGGGCTCCACCAGCACGTTTTCTCATCCAGCGATTTGGTAGGGACTGCCCACTTGGCAGCTTCTGTCATCTTAAATATGTTAAATTTTAGAAGCTCAGAAAAGATAGCATAAAAAATTAACCATACTGAACTTATCTAATTCAGTTAGTTAGTAAAGTCGAAATTTTATGTGGTAATAAAAACAAAATGGGGGAGGTGGGTACGGCGTTGTGGCATCGTGTCACCTCCTGTGACACTGGTATCCCATATGGGCACAGGTTCAAGTCCCAGCTGTTCCACTTCTGACCCAGCTCCCTACTAGTGCACAGTACATGGGACCCTGCACCCACATGAGAGGCCTAGCAGAAGCTTTAGAGCTCCTGGCTTTGGTCTGGCACAGCCTCAGCCATTGCAGCCTTCCAGGGAGTGAACCAGCGGATGGGAGATCTCTCCCTCTCTGCTTTTCAAATAAATAAATATAGCCACCTACTGATCTCTTGGATTGAGCCATTTTATTCCATTTTTAAATTTATATTTATTTGGTAGGTAGAGATCTCATCCACTGGTTCACTCTCCAAATGCCCTGAACAGCCAAGACTGACTGGGTCAAGCCAGTCATTTGAGCCATCACCAGTACCTTGCAGAGAGCTTGCATCCATCAGCAGCAGAGCCCAGGCACTGCAGTATGGGACGAGAGTTTCTTAACCACTAGGCCAAACACCTCCTGCAGATTGAGCCACTTTAAACCATTCTTCAATGCTACAGCTCAAAGTACTCTTCATCAAAAAACCTTGGTAGGAAATACAGGTGGGCTGGACACTGGCTCTGCTGCTTGCTGGCACTGTGTCCTGGATGCAGATACTGAGGCCCTAATCTGCCACCAAACAGCAATCATGTGCTCCGCTTCCAAGGGTTGTGCAGAAATGCGAGAGTGAGGGCCACACTAACGAGGGACCAGCGAGCCTGCAGAGTATCCCCCAGGCCCAGGCTCTGGGCGAGGACCGGTGAGCAGCAAGTAGAATTCTAGAGCCTCGTATCATGAACAAAGCCAAGCTGAGGCCGAGTGCTCATCACTGACCACGAGAAGCACAGGCGCTAACTCACCATTTACCTTCCCAGTGGCACCAAGTAAATGAACAGCACTAAGAGCCCTCAAAGGCCAGAAGAATCCACAGTGAACAAGTCCACTGAGTGAGAAGCAGAGTGAGAAGGCTAATCGTCAGTGTGGAGTTCCCAGGGGACTCCCACAGTCCCGAGCCCCCACTTACTTTGCCATCCCCTTTGGGGTTCAGATAAACCACGTAGTGTCCGCCATGGTTATCTCCACTGTGAACGAGGACTGCATGGAGAATGTAATTTGCAGGGTCTTTAGGATCTGTTTTTTGCAAAAATTCATCAAGTGGTAATTGTTCCGGGAACTCAAACCTATTAAGGAAACATTTTAAGAAATTCAGTGTTCACTGACATCTAAAACACTGCACTTGTCTCCTACCTTAATGGCTGATATGTAATAGGAAATTTAGGAAGCTACCTAGAAGGTCCTTGGAACCACATGAGATGGCCGTGACTTCACAGAGTACATTACTTGTCTCCCAATATAAAATAAGGGAAGAGTTGAGAAAAAATGCCTGGAAAGCTGAGGACACATACGTGACTTTAACAGCAGGCAGCCTTGTAATCAAAGAACACAATGCACTCTCTCAGGCAAGGCCAGCTTCAGGTGTGTCAGTGGTTCTGAAGGGAGCCCAGAGTCAGACCACCCATGGAAGAAACTCAACGTGACTGCGGGGCAGGGGCTGAAGGTGTGGGTGGTGGCTGGGGAAGAGCAAGCACCCGAGTCAAAAACCAACCGAGAAGAAGTGAACTGTGCAGTCATCTTGGCAACAGTTCTCCAGACACACCACTAAAGGGAAGCCCTAATAACTCAGTGCCGAGCTGCACCCCGCACACGTTACCTATCGTTGATCTTGATGTTTTGGTCCGTCTGAGGATCATACATGAATCTCATCAGCTGTAGATGTAACACTGGTGGCAACGTGAGGAATTTCACCCCTTTCTCTGCTTCCTAAACATTGCAAAAAAAAAAAAAAATTACTTCACCTCTGCTCCTTTGTTTTTACAAGACTGCACTCTGGGCAGCAGTCAGGTTTCCAACTGGGGTGACTTTACAATCTTTGGCTGCGGGCAGCAACAGGGCTCTTTGGATTGTACCCTAACTTGATGTCCAGCACTGGGAGATGGTCAGGCAAATTAGGGTCATCACTTGTTGTTTATCACGGAGCCATGAAAACCACGGGAACCACAGAAGGCTCCCTCACTGGAGAAGCAGTGAACGCAGACTGCAGGTCCCTACGATTGTGAGCACTGTGGAGCACAGAGCAGAAGAAACGCCAGAGCACAGCTGTGGGCTGGGAGGACACAAGTGGGCACTCACTCCCTGGGACACACCTGCTGCTCCCAGTCTCACGGCTAAGACGGCACTCTGCACCCCAGGCCTCTGCTGCAAACACGGCCTCCTCTGCAGGGACCCTGACTCGCCGGCTCCAGGTCCTCGGCCTGCCTCTCGACTCGTGTGAGTCGGCTGTCTTGGCTCCTCACTAACACAAGGCCCTGCCGACACCGGTGCCAGCTGGGGCCCTCACCAGCATGCATGCCACGGCTAAATTCCAACCCCAACCTTCCTCCCAGCTGCACACCCAACCACAGGCTGGAGACCAGGAGCAACTGGGGACTGTGATGAGGAACTTGGGAACGTGTGTGGTAGGTGAAATTCAGGAACCTATTCCACAGTGAGGAATGACAAGTTTTAAACCAACAGGCCCGAATGCAGGATCAACGAGGACACTGCCGGCCCCAGAGCATCTGACCTGCTCCTCTCGGTGGAGACTGTCATTTTCACAATGCTGCCTGGGGCCCAGGGTCTCAGAGCTGTGACCCAAGCGAAAACACTCGTGCTTCAAGTCCTGCTCCTCAGAACACACACACACGCCCCCCCAAAGCACTCACTACAGCCACACCAAAGTCCAAGTGACCCAAGAAATGACACTTATGACCAGGAGAAAGTGACCAGAAAGTCAGGACCAACAGCAGGCAGGGGAGGAACGGAACAGAGCAGTGACAAAAGCTCCCGCGTATGCAACCCCACAACCTCCCTGCCCAACGCCAACACATCTGCGTGGAAGGCACAACATATTTAATTACCAATTAACCAGAAGAACAGTCAGTGAAGGAGAAGGCTACCATGGGGACTAGCACACAGTGTCCAGTTACCTGCAGGCCGTGCTCCCCGGCATCGTACTTATTGTCACCATCCAGCTGTTCTACGGCCACATAATCCACAAATGACTCAAAGACTTGAAAGAGAAAGAGAAAACCGTCAACCAAAAACATCAGGAAAGCTTCGGTTACAATGTATCCAAGCTAGGTGTGAGAGGGACCCAGGAACTGCAGGCACAGGCAGTAATTTGCCACCTCTACTGAAGACTGCACTTAACACATATGCTAGCCCAGCTCACGGCACGGGTGTGTTTAAGGTATGCAAGTAGCAACGTATGAGACCCATGGTTGCACCTTTATTCTGACTACAGCACTTGTTAAAAAGCGACAGTTAACACAGAATGGAATGGACAGTGTGGGCCACCAGTGGGTTCTGAACCAGAAGGGCACAAAGAGCTGAACACAAGAGCAGCGAAGACAACTTGGGAGGGCGGGTGGCCCCACCGCAAAGCGACGGGAACAGACAGCCCTAACTTCAACCCCGAACAACTGCTCCCCACGGACTGTAGATAAACAGAAATGGCAGAACCACAGCAACATCCAACACAGGTCTTCATTTCAACTGCAGTGCTCCACCGAAGGGCAACGCGGGGAGGGGGAAAGGGCCGCGTGCTGGGAAAGCCCTCTCCCAGTCCAACCCACGGCTCGCCCCAGTGTCGGGAGCTCCTGCACTCCCGCGCTCCCGCGGTACAGGTGCACAGCACAGAATCCCCGGCAGAAGGGAAACTTGGGGACCCCAGGCTGAGGCAAGCTTCCTGCTTGGTTTTCAGGGTGCAGCCCAGGAACACCAGCCCAGCGCCTGGCTGGGCCTGGAGACAGAGGCGAGAGCCCGAGGGCCCAAAGGCAGCTCGCACCATGGGAAGAGCACCCGCGAGCAGAAAGCCGCGCAGAACGCGAAGTCTGCAGGTGGCTTTCGAGCCGGCGTGCAGGGCGCAAGGGCCGAGGACCTCCTGACACCTAGGACGTCTGACCCCTTTCCGAGGATGTGGGGACACAAAAAGCCTCGACTAGAAACTCGTCGTGCTCCCAGGCAACAAAGCTTAAATACGCTTTGAAAGAAGAAAACCCTGAGGGCACCTCCAGAAGTTTGTGGGAAAAGGCAATCAGTTTCTTTTGGCATGCATAAATATTTTTCACCTAGGCATAGTTTTTTTCATAACATGTACTCAAGTAACTCATTTATGCCCCAGAACAAGGGCGAAAAATGCTCCTTCCCCTTTCTGCCCCCACCCCACCCCCTAATAAAACATAATGGTGGAACAAAGCTGCAAGTTCAGAGTCTCAAGAGGAGAACCCTTCAGGAGAAGTGACACAGGTGACAACCAGCAGACAGAAACACTGAGAAAGTTATTATGAATTACTGCCTTTGGAAATATTATTTTCACCCACTTGAAAGGCAGAGGAAGCCTGAGAGGGAAAGTGACCGAGTGAGAGTCCCCATGGGCAGTGTGTTCCCTCCCATACACTCCTCAAATGCCCACCACAGCCAGAGGCAGGAACTCAAAACAGGTCATCCATGTGGGTGGCAGGGACCACGCGACTGAGCCATCGCTGCTGCCTGTCAGCCAGGGTGCACACTGGCAGGAAGCTAGAACCGGCATAAGGCTTGGGGGGAGGACAGGGCTCCATGCAGGAGCTCTGGTCTGACAAAGGACATCTCGAGTGATGAATTCCTTTCAAGACAGAAGCAAGAGGGTATGAACAGACAAGAAGATTTTTATACGAACACCCAGATAGTAGCTTCAGGAATGTAAAACATGGTGACTGAAATGAGAAGACATCAGGAGTGGGATTCCCAGCAAGACAGACAGCACAAAGGCTTAGTGACTGCAGATGCAGCACTGTTCCTCAAAGGAGACCATCCTGACCATCCGTCAGGAGGCTGGCGCATGATTCCAAGTGACCACGTGGAGGGCCCAGGTGGAAAGGCCGGCCAGGAGTGGCCAAACCTTTCCCCCACTAAGAAAGCACAAACCCACAGACCCAAGCTGCTCACTGAACAGCACGCAGAGAAACCCAGAGCCAGCAGCAGCAGATCACATCACATACATCATCAACCAGCTACCATGTCTGGGTCGGGGAGCAAGAAGCTGACACTTGCCCCACACAGAGGAACAAGGGATGTGTCTCCAGCACACTGATGAGAAAACGTGCCTAGAAGCCTCTCCCAGTGCAGATGACAGGGGGAACTCACTCCAGCAAGAGCAGACCAGATGGGACCACGCACGGCAAACAGGAGGGAACGGCACAGAAACTGTAGAGGGGAAGTAAGATGACTTTTCCACTCAATTTTAAAGATTTATTCATCTGAAAGTCAGAGTTACAGAGACACACAGAGAGAGAGGGTGAATGAATGAGTATCTTCCATCTGCTGGTTCACTCCCCAGATGGCTGCAACAGCCAGAGCTGGGCCAGGCTCAAGTCAAGAATCAGGACTGCTTTCGATCTCCCACGTGGGTGTAGGGGCCCAAGGAGATGGATAGGAAGTGGAGCAGCCGGGTCTCGAACTGGTGCCCATTTATTTAGGATGCCGGCATGTCAGACAGTGGTTTTACCCAGTATGCCACAACGCTGGCTCCTCCCACTCAATTTTAAAACCTGGTGGAAATATAACTTTCGAACCAATCACGAACTCAGAAGCCAACACAAAAATTGGTTAAAAAAAATCACTGAGTGCTTCACAGAAGGTGACACCAAACGGCCGTGAAGCACTGGATTCCTGACACTCGAGGAGACTCACACCTAACCGAGCCCTCAGCCGACTCCCTGGTGACGTGCAGTTCCCGCGAGCATGCGGAAGCGCCGCTGTTCTCCCACAGGGCTCACAGGGCGAGACTGAAACTGCCCTGGGGACCCCACTAGCTTGCCAGTTAAGCTCAACCTGTGTGTGCCCTGTGGGTCAGCTAAACACACAGGAGCAATGAGCAGTCAATCTCATGTCAAAACAGCCTACGACTGAAAGCACTCCAAGAAGAGGGCAGGTCTTAAAAATGACTGTGGTGAGACCGGCACTGTGGCGTGGGGAATAAAGCTGCCACCTGCAGTGCCGGCTCGAGTCCCAGCTGCTCCACTTCCGATCCAGCTCTGTTATGGCCTGGAAAAGCAGTGGAAGATGATCCAAGTCCTTGGGCCCCTGTACCCACATGGGAGACCCAGAGGAAGCTCCTGGCTGCTGGCTTCAATCGGTGCAGCTCCGGCCACTGCAGCTAACTGGGGAGTGAACCAGCGGATGGAAGACCTCTTTCTGCCTCTCCACTGTGTAACTCTAATAAATAAGGAAATCTTAAAAGCAAACAAGCAAACACAACTGTGGTGTGCATTGCTAAAAAAAGAACACCATAAAGCAACAATGATCACACTGTTACAACATGGGCACATCACACGCATATGATGCTGGTCAAAAATCAGACACAAAGACTGTGCGCACTTCAGCACCTAAACCAGGCAAGCTTAACCTAAGATGTGGGTTTCCTATCGTGTGTGTCTGTGTGTGTGTGTTTGGGGGTGGGGGGGGGTGAGCGGCCTAGCAAGACACAGCAGGCTGTCTCTAACCCACACGGAGATTCCCACACGGAGATTCCATGTGTGTGTTCACCCCGTGAGCTGTGCACTTCAGACCGTGGCTGTAGATACGGCAGTGGAAACCACTTGTATAAACTGAACACTACACCAAAGCAGAAATTATCAAAAAGCTTACGCCCCATGTACCCAGCACTTACTATTTTTCTTTCCTTTTATACTTAGCTGGATATCGTAATAATCTTCTCTTCTATCAGACCGATAGTCCACTTCTTTGCACTGAATGTAGGACTACAAATAAGCAAAGTAAGACGGTTTAAGTATTATTGGTCAAAAAATTTCCAACTAAAAAAACTTTCAAAATCCTTTGAAATGGGTCACATACCACCATTTTTCCTCTGAATAGTTTTGGGATGGTGCCTTCTACACATGTGCCTTTCATCTTATTTTCCACATTATCAAGCAACTGAAAGAGAAGGTGTTGACTTTAAATAAATTTTCATGTTTAAGCAACATACAATAATTTAATATTCAACTAGGAAATATCAATTGTCAAAGAAATTCTAGACTATAAAATACTATGACCTTTGGCATGCAATTATCAAAAACATACAAAATCATCTTTCTTGGTTGGATTTTTACAAATATATCTACATGCAACAGTTGAGGTTAACCTTTTATACAGCCTTTGGAATGAATTAGTAATCTGTAGTGCCTTTAGAAGCATTTTTTTTATATTCATTTTACCTCTGTGGAAAAGCATGTAAATTGATCACTAAACTTAACTCGTAATGGTCCACACCAAGAGATTAGTGAGGTTGAGCCTGTCAACAGGATTGACTGGTTTGTCCATGGATATTTAATGAACTGGATTCAATCCAGCTAGTGCTGCAAAAAAGAAAACACACCTTGCCCAGCCAATCACCTTGAATAACCATATTGTGTGTATGTGTGTGTGTGTGTGTGTGTGTGTGTATCTCACATCACAACAAATGGTGAGCTAGTGATGGTGGGGTTGGGGTGGGGAAACACACAAGGCTGCCTCGGGGGGAGCTTGGTGCACAGGAGGCTCTGGACACTAGAACATTGCAAGTTGCTACTCTTAAGGGACACTGGGCCACAGGGACAGCTAACTAAGCCAATCTGTTGGTTCTCTGGTTAAGAAGTGACATATATACCAATTTAACAAATTAAAGCCTACCATCTACTACGTACATTCAAGCTTCCCCTAACACTTTACATTCAGTTAAATATTCAAATAACTCTACAGATTGTTAAACTAAATAAAATGCTGCTATTTCTTTCTAGCCTAAGGTGTTATCTGATTTAGGTCTGAGGTTTTGCTTGATAACTTCGGACATTGCTTCAAAATATCCAGTGTACGAACTACACAATTACTGCCTGAAACTTACCACTCGACAGAGCTCTTGCACATCATGTTGCATGAAGCTATCTAAGGTTTCCCACCTTTCAAAGATAAAACGGACAACTGTAATTAGACCTCTCAATTGCAAAGTAGTAAATTAAAAAGCAACTTAAGACTTCAAAACTAAATTGAACCATCAGCCATGACTCTCAAATTCATTTTTTGAGAACATTAAGGGTTCTAACTCCAACAAATTTTTCAGTGGACAGCACAGTCAGCATTTTTACCCTCCTCTGAGGCCCACACTGCTGGGGGAGGCGATGTGGGCCCTCGCACTCTCCAGCCCAAGGGCTGTTTCTGCAGCAAACCTACAGCAAAGCCTCGATTCCCCCCAGGCAGAGCGAGCACAGGGAAGTACTCCAATGCCCCAGCCTCCCGGCGGGGAAAGTCCACACCATACGCGACAGAGGGACAGGCAGAGGGCGGACACATACCCAAATGACTTTGTCAGCTTTTTTGTTCCCACGGGCTTGTCACTGTGCTGTAGTTCGTAGAACACTCTCTGTAAGGCTAACGGTACGCTTTTAGATGAATCATCGCCCTCTGTCGGCATCATGTAGACAGCCTGGGAGAATAAATTTAGAAATAATTTAACTGCAATATAGAACTATCATTTCTAGAATCAAAATGGCTGAAGTAGTCACTATTGCTTTATCCCCAAACAGATCAGAAATTAGCTTTACCTAAAGCTCTCCAAAGAGGACGACTATAATTTCACATCTCTTGGAGCAACATATTAAGACATATACATTATATATATACTATGTATGTGTGTGTGTGTGTGTGTTTGAAAAGCAGAGAGCTTGAACAAGAGAAAGCAATTCCCATCCACTGCTTCACTCCTTAAATATTCCTGACAGCTGGGGCTGGGTCAGGCTGGAGTCAGGAGCTAGAAACTCCAATCTGGTTCTCCCATGTAGGTAGCAGGAACTCAAGTTACTGGAGCCATCATCTGCTGCATCCTACAAGTTCCAAGACCCATGCTCTTAGGCTGGCACAGCCCTCACTATTGCTGGCAATTTGGGAAGTAAAAACCAATGGATGGAAGATCTCTCTCAAACCCTGCCTTTCAAAAAAACTTTAAAAAAAATCTAAAATGTCTACCCTTTTTATTAATATCCTCTAATAATGTTCTATCTCCAAAAAAGGAAAATTAGACCTTGTAGCCAGCAAGTTTTCAACTCATCCATGCTAATACAAAACTGTTTGCTTGCCACCAATCACTTCCTTATTTAGTTATTCTCAGCACAATCTGTAAAATCATTTTGGCTGCAGCAAACTTTGGATCACCCAATGTAGCTTAAACAACAGCTGCTCTCGCACGAGGGAATGAGTGTAGCTTAACTGGGGGAGCCATGTGCTTTGCTGACCATTAACACAGCCAAGAAAAAAGGGTGATGTGAGGCAGGGGAGAGGTCCATCCACTCACCTTTCGTAGCTGGTTTGTGAAAAACAAAGTCTGCAGCAGGCTGTTCATGTAACAAGTCGCTCCCTGGTTCTTTAAGCCCACATAGCCTGTGTGCTTCTTTGAATCCCACCTGGAAGATCAATTCGAGGTTAATGGTGACCAGGACAGCACCTCGGCTCTGCCACGGGTGTGGAGCCAGCCTCATACTTCTCCATCACGCACCATCAGCACCTCCTCTCCAACATCCCGACAGGGAACACGGTCCACGCGCTCCTCGGCAGCAGACCCATCGGGCCCTTCAGTGGCCACTGCCTCCTTTCTCATGCCTGAGCGTGTGGATTAGCGTCAACACAACCAGCATGAGAACAGCCCTGGAACACGTGTGCTGCCAGCAGCACCATTGCCACTGGTCAAGATCAGCAGTGAGGGACACTGCTCAAGCCCCGCAGCTACGTCACATGTGCCTCCCAGCGATGCTGGTCACTGGCACAACAAGCAAGTCACACCTGCAGCCAGCAACCAGCAGACAGAGAAAGCCCTTTCTGGGGCAGAAACAGACAGCACGTGCAGCTGGCATGTTTCAGGTCACACTTCTCAAACCCAGAGCTTTCTTCCCCTCATTTACCATGTGAGCAGCTGGAGGAGAAAAGGCAGATTTTGTGAGTTAACTGTCCCATCCTCTCCAGCCGCAAGAGCACCAGAGGGAGAGCTGCCTGGAAGCAGACCGCAGCTGGCACTGCCCGAGGCACAGCCGTGAAGCTGTGACACACCAGCGACTGAGCTGGTGGGGCGCCCTGGAGACGCTCACCATGTCCTCAGTCAACGGCACGCTCAGAGGCCCGGGTGTTTGTGGGTGCAGAACCAGGCTCCAGTGCTGCCTTCCCGCTCACTCACTGCTGGGGCTCTCAGGGGTCTCGTCTCTCCCAATGAAAGCAGAGCACTCTACTGTGGAATCTCAGTACTGGTCTCAGCACCCCCACCAGGAGTCTACACGTGCTTCAAAAACAGAAACCCAGAGCTGGCGTGCTGACCACAATTACATGCCTAGTGCCCAGCACACCAGCTACGGAAGGAAGGGTGGGGCGGACGTGTTTCTCCGTGTGTACACGTCAAATACATGCATCCCAAGTGTGGTGATGCTGCTTTCACTGTGGCACAATAGCCCCCACTTAAAGAAAAACTTACGCAACTCCATGGGGAGCATCGGCCTGTACAAAGACTTCAAATGTCACTTTGTCATCATCTATAAATCCTTTCTCAGAATCCGTCACTTCCTATAAAAGACAAAGAAGATCCAATTTCATAGGCGCACATGAAAACAACCCCCAGTGACCTGTACTTAAAAAGACTAAAATGTTCTGTTTCAATTATGGAGTATTTTGATTTGTTTTATACAGTGATCTCTGAACAAAAACTGCGAAAGCCCTGAGGAAGCATCTGGGGCATGCACAGGTCAAAGGAACTGCAGGCGCTTGACAGAGCAGGGCTGGGCAGGGCATCCAGCACCCTCCAACTTGGGTACCGCCTGAGGCAGTAAGGCAGCAACATTCCACTGCTGACCGGCTCTGCAAAACAGAGCCACCGTGAGCTGCCCTGCAAATCATCAAGTTACAGGAAACCACCTGACTCTGCAATCAAGGGTTCCAGGGGCAGGCCTTGCAGCGCAGCAGGTACAGCCCTGGCCTGCAGCTCTGGCTACTCCACTTCCGATCCAGCTCCCTGCTAATGTGCCTGGGAAAGCAGAAGATGGCCCAAGAGCCTGGGGGCCGGCATCCACGTGGAAGACCCACAGGAAGCTCCTGGCTCCTGGCTCCGGCCTGGTTCAGCCCTGGCAGTTGCAGCCACCTCAGGAGTGAATCAGTGGGTGAAAAAAATCGATCTCTCTCTCTCTAATAAATAAACGAAAATGGATCCCAAAAAGTATGTTATTTTTGAAAGGAAGTTTAGCCTGTCAGAAATCATCTCCAATATTTCACTAAAACTAAGACTTGACTCCACATGGCTTCACTTCAGCTAACAAACTGGGAAAAACACAAAAAGACACTTATCCAAACTGCAAAATAAAAAATTTGGTTCTAAAAGGAATAGAAGGATTTCAACAACAAAAGAATTTTGGAAGCAACCATGCTGATGACAAATACACTGTTACTTACACTCCAGGCCATAAAATTGGAAAATCCCCAATCATTTTCTTTATGGAAGAACAAATGGCTAATGCGGCGACTGAATGACTTCTCGTCGTCTCTGTAGTTTATTATCTTCAGTACTGCCTGCGCATGACAAGACCACGACCTGTTCAAAGAGAATCACCTGAGCCTTAGCAGACGTATGCAACTGAGGCTTCCACAAAGCAGTACACAGAATCCCGTCTGTGCTTTCCCCCTTCTCCTTCCGGGCTGGGCAACACATATGATCCCTAACAGAGACAAGGCTGTTTTTTCTGAATCCGTAGTGACTGCACTCAGGGTTTGCTTTTGTTCTTTGCATGAGTCATCTGAAGCCAGAACTTGACTGGATCTAGACAAGCTTCCCCACTCTCAACAGCAGTATCAAGGCCTTTTAGAGACCACAGCGTTTTTGTAGTGCTATTCTGGTATAGGTTAAGCCACCATTTGTGACGCTGGCCTCCCATGTAGGAGCACAAGGTCCAGTCCCAGCTACTGTGTTTCCCAGCCAGTTCCCTGTTAATGTGCCTGAAAAAGCAGCAGTCAATGAATGGCCAGGTGCTTGGGATTCAGCCACCTGGGACACTGGAATGGAGTTCTTGGCTCATGGCTTCAGCCTGACCCAAGTACAGCCATTGTGGCCATTTGGGGAGTGAACCAGTGGACAGCAGATTGGTATCTCTCTGCCTTTCAAATATATCTAAAATATGCCTTTCAAAAATAATCCAAAAATGAATGAACAACAAAAAATGTTTTGGTAAAATAATTGTCAAATGAACGAATCACTAGGCAGGTATTTGGTGTAAGGATCAAGACACTGTCTGGGACGCTTGCACCCTGTTCCAGTCCTCTCTTCCAATCCGTTTCTTGCTATTGACCACCCTGGGGGGCAGCAGGTGATGGGTCAAAGAGTAGCAACACCCAGGATGAGCTCCCAGTTCCTGGCTTTAGCTGGCCCAGCCCCAGATACTACAAGCATTTGGGGAGTGAACCAGCAGATTAGATATTTCTGTTTCTCCCTCTCTCTTCCTTTCTAATAGGCAGGGAGAGAAGGGAGGAAGGAAGAAAAGAACATTGAGGGGAAAAAAGCTAAAAAGCAGCTGCGCAGGGTAAGCCTGTGGCCTGCACTGCCAAGTCAGGCACCACGTTCCAGCAGCAGCCCCGCCCCTGTGCAGACCTGTTCTTCCCAGCACCTCCCGGTCACACCGAGCAGGGGTGGTGCAGCACCGAACCACAGGCCTTCTGGGTCTCACCAGCAGTGCTGTCCTGCCCAGGTGCGGACGGATGCATCAGTGCGTCCCAATCCCCTGAGCATGGACACCAAATCCCAACCACAAGAGAACAGACCATCCATGCAGTCAGATGCGGGGTAGACCACAAGAAAGTCTCTGGACCAATATTTAAAAGCCAAAAATGGGGTGGACGTTTGGTACGTGGCTGAGACTGTTTAGATGCCCACATCCCATGTAGGAACGCCTTGGTTTGTAGCCCTGGCTCCATGTCTGGCTTCAAGCTACTGCACACACTGGGAAGTAACAGGTGATACAGTTCAGGTAGCTGGCTGGGTCCTTGCCACCCCAGTGGGAGACCTAGATTGAGTTGCCTGAGCCCTGGCTGCTGTGGGCATCTGAGACTGATCCAAACGAAAACAGTTTTTTCTCTTCCAAACAAAGTGAGAAAACAAAAAGACACAGCACCTTAAAGTCCACTGTAGAATGAATCTATGGCTAAAGTAAGACTTTGTAATTACATGTTACACTTGAATGCTGAACTGCTGTCAGACCCTGCACAGCAAGTGAGCCAGTGTTGTCTGCTTGCACAGGATGCTCATACTGGACATGGAGGTCACTGTGTTTCTAACTGCTGCGCAGGCTGTAACTATGGAGGAACCCTTCCCCGCAAAACCATGTCCCAATTCTGATCAGATCACATAGTGTACACACAGGAACAAAAAAATCTGACCTATAAGCAGGTCCTAGCTAGCTATATGGCAAGAAACTGACTTGTAGCTTCCTAAACATTAAATAGACTGCACTTCCCTGGGCATTCACAGAACTGCTACAGCTCTATGGAGAACTTCATACGGCACCGTCGGGGAGTGGCAGGGACACTACAGCCAATGTACAAAGTGTGATGGTGGGAACCACACTTTCTTCAAATAAGTCAACAGTGACAAGGGCAGGCACCTAACACAGGAGTTAAGACACTGCTTGGGACATACACATCCCATACTGGAGCACCTGGGTTCATGTCCCACCCAGCTTCAAGTCCACCTTCCTGCTGATGCAAACCCTGGGAGGCAGCAGGTGATGGCTTGGACCCGGATGTGGTTCCTGGCTCTTGGCTTCAGTCTGGCCAGCCCCAGATGTGAAGATGTTTAGGGAATGAACCACTGGAAGGGAACATTCTTTTTCTTCCTTTTAAATAAATGTTTTTTTTTTTTAAAGATTGAAGTTTTTTAGGTCAAACCAATGGTGTAGGAAGTTTGAAATACTAAAAAGTGAAACCTCTCATTTTTGGTTTCATGTGAAGAAAGGAACCATCAAGATTGCTCTTCATTTTAAATTATCTTATAATAAATTCCCCCTTAGACATTAAGTATTTTTTTCTAAAGTAAGTCAGAGGCCCAGGTTATAGACTTCTCAAAGAATGCTTGATTCATGCCTTCTGAATAGCCGAGGATGACTGCCTATCACAAAATGCAACGGCTGCGAGGCCCTGACGACCACCATCTTGGGGGAGGAGAAGTAAGCCAGGTAGCTCGGTGGTCACCTAAGCTGGTTGGCCCTGATTCCACGGGCTGGTAAGACTTAACAACATCAACTTTAATTTTTTACGTTTAAGAAAAAATACACTTCTAGTTTAGACAAAATACATACCCAATGAGTTTTTAAAGAGAGAAATGTGTTTCAATCTAATTTTAAAATCTAAGGGCTATGCAGAGGCAGCAAGGAAATTTAAAGTGAAACTGAGTTAGCCGATCAAATGGGGCTTCTGATATGCAGTATGACTATGTGCATTTGTAGTTGCATCATTTAAACTGTCTTACGTGGAATCAGATTCAGCATTGCACTGCAGAAAGAATCCTACGCTTTTTTGGTGTGGTCTGTCTGGATAAAAGCGTGGCATCACCATAATCTTCCATGGCAGATTTCGCACAAAACACGGAGGGCTAAGGACCGACTCACTCAGTCTGCTGAAGCGCTCGACAGTGAACTGAAAGGTGGCCTCGGAGCGCCAACTGGTGTCTGCAAGAAAACACGTCATCAGTCACAGAGCCAGGCAGAAGCGGCAGCACTAGCACAAATCGGCAGCAACTGGGCTACACAGTCAGTATCACTGCTAAAACCAAAACCTTTGTGGAAATGGCAGGGCAGCATTGGTTCCAATCGATTAAAGCCTAAAACTGAGAAGACACAGGTTCTAAAGGAAATCCACCAATCAGGGCTGATTACACACATGCCTTCTCTCTTGGATTCAAGAGTCCAGCACAGTAGCAACCTCCACTCTACCATGTCTTAATTCCCAGCACCAAGGGAGCAGACTGGGCACATTTGTGGAAAGAAAAGCCTCGAGCTGTGCCTGTCAGGCAGGGGCGCTGCGCTCGTGGGCCTGCGAGCCTCAGAGTGGGTGGGAGCTGGGCGTCCCTGATGCACGGCACTGCGAAAGTCAGCAAGATGGCTAAGAAGTCATCCTAAAAACAAAGGTTACCTTCATCAGCTCACCATTTTGTGAAACAGCCTGGATTCCCCGTGTAGAATAATTTAAAAAAAAAAAAAAAAAAAGGCAAAACGCTAGAATTCTTTCCTAACATGAGTTAAAGTAAACATTAAAGGTTAACAAAAGTGAGGTTAACAAAGAATCAAGGCTCCCCAAATACACTGTTTGTTGGCAGCTTTGAACTACCCCCTCCTGGTGACCACAGGCCCACCAGTCCTGACACACCACTGCTGTAGGGGCAAGGCGCTCTCATGCCCACCACCATCCTGGTACTGACTTCATGAAACACAATGAAGTTGCCAATAAAATCATCACAGCAAGGCCGAACTGCTACAGAAGTTTCTAACACTTTCTTTCATGTTCCATTCCTGTCTCCCTGCGGAATGGGAACAGTTCACTGACCAGCAGGAGACCAGGAGCCCACTCCCAAAGGGTCCTGCTCTACGAATACACAGGGTCTGAAACGCTTTTGCTGACCCCGCGTTACGTGCTATTTTGATAATCCTGAGCTCCGTGACGCCAGGGCACAAAGTAAGAACTGCAGGACCTGGAGAAGAGCACGTTCATCGGAACACACACCAGTCGTCCACCCTCAGCCACTGCAGGCCCGGATCTGTGCCACAACCCTCTGTCTCCAAACTTCACCAACACAACTGAGTTTCCAGCACAGGCTACCCTCAGCATACAGAAATGGAAGTTCTTACCTAACTAATCTGTGCTTAAGAAAACATGTCCATCAGTCCTCACAAGAGGGTAGTATTCTTGGCCAAAAGAAATAAAAATTAAAATGTTTGATGATTAGCACTTTCACCTTCTTTTAAACACTCGTCACCCCCATTCTTTCACTGCACATGAACCTACCCAGAAGCCTAGGCACATGCCCCTTGGAAAGAAGAGCAGCTGAGAGCTGGGTCCTGTCTGAGACAAATTATTTATCTGAGCCTTTTCAAGTGGTAGGTGTGACCCTAATCCCCTGGCAGAACACGAGTCCACTACTAGGCAAGAAACATTCAAAGTAATGATGCTCTCAACCACTTAAAACACAAATCACAGCTGAGCAGCACTGAAACCCTGCAAAGTAGACAAGGGTAGGTAGATATGACTTAAACACCACCCAACAGGTGAAGAAACTGAGGATTGTGGAGGTTAAGTATTTTACAGAACAACTGGATTTCAGTGCCCCTTGCCTGGGGGTGTTAAAATGCCATTCCTGGAGGAGGCTGGCCTTGTGGTACACCAGCATCCCATAATGGAGCACTAGTACAAGACATGTGGCTTCTAATTTAGCTCCCTGCTAATGCGCCTGGGAAGAGAGTAGAAATGGCCCAACGACAGGTCCCTGCCAACTGATGTGCCAGGACAGAATTCCTGGTTTCTGGCTCCTGGCTTTCAGCCTGGCCCAGGTCTGACTGTTGCAGCCATTAAGGGAGTGAACAAGTGGATGGAAGAGATCAGATAGATACACACAAAATCTAAACTATAAATGCCTTCTTGCCCTTCAAGTATTAAATGGAACCATGCTGGTCAAAGTCAGCATGATCCTAAGTCTAGCAGATCTCCTCCAGGCCCCCCCCCATTCCTCCCTCAGAGGTTGTGGCCTACTCCCCACTACTCCCTGAGCCCACACTGCCCTGCATGCGGTGTGTGGCCCATGCTTGTTCAATCACATACTGCATTTCTGCCTCACACACTGGGCACCTGCTTAGGACAGGAGGGAATTCAGCATGAGACTCCATGCCAATAAAAATGTCCCTTCGATAGCTCAAACACTTCGGACTAACAGAATAATTGAAATGTTGTACTAAATACCTGCAGGAAGGCCTACAAAAAAGTAGTAACTTCAAAGTCATCTGTAACAGACATGGCCGACCAATAAACAGCTTTGTTTAAGGAAAGAAGTGAAACAGTACTGGGAGCCTATGTACTATTTTTGCAATGTTTTCAAAACTTAAAAAGCACACTGGGGATTACAAAGGACACCTCCTGCCTACAGAATCAGACTCATTAACTGGAGACTCCAATCTACCTGGACGCAGCAAACGCCGCAGCACACTGCCACTACGCCAGGATGATGGGCTCCACTACGTGCTGTCACCACACCCCCTGAGCCCTGCCTGCAGCACCTGCAGCTGCAGCAGCAGACAACACAGAGCCCAGAGCTCCCAGCATGCCCTTCTCATAGCATCTTGACTATGTGGGGTATGGCCAATGAATGGCCTGGGTTTTATGTGCATGAAGAAACCACACAGACACAGGAATTCGGATTTTTCAGTCAGGAAGCTTAGCCTGAAATGTCCCCAAATGGCCCTCCTGTGATCTCCAGGTACCTACACCCCAAACCTGTCTGCAGACACCCACAAACCCAGATCTAAGCTTTCACAAGTCATACTTGCTCTGAGACTCAAGCAAGGAACATTCTTGTTCTACTTGACTAAGGGCTGGAAGTTGATTCTGATGCTTGTCTTGCTACGCAGAATAACTTCACACAAAACGTCCTTACCAAGGAGGCCCCTTTGCTTGTCAATCAAGTCCCTAACAATTTGGCTACAAAAAAAAAAAAATCTAAGCCAGGAACTCCAAGGTCACATGTCCTTGTGTGAAATGGCAAAGGGAGAGGCAGGGCAGAGGTGCTCCAATCCAGGGTCTTGGAGAAGCAGTGTAGATTAGGGTCAGGAGGGGCAGCTCTGACACAGAAGTGTCGACAGCAGCCCTCTTTTCACAACACACTTACACCCTGCCAGACAGGGTTTCCTAGGAAGTATTGCAGCCGGGAATATGCCTCAGCTAAGATTCTGCCCCCAGAACCAGAACCATCTCCCGCCCTCCCCCCGTCCCTGCCACTACAGGACGAAGTTCAGAGGGATGGACTGCACCAAGCCACTGGCCGGCCCCAGGGCTGCTCCAACCCAGGCCCCTGGAAGGCTATTTTCTCCATTTGCGTTCACTTTCTGGTCCTGTGATTTAATTCCATTATTTACCACTACTACGAATTTGCCTCACACTAAAAAGGTGAATATACCCTCGTGTCAGGGATGGCACGTGGCAGACAAGTGGCTCGTTGTGACCTTGGACGGGGGACACTGACACCTCCACTGCAAGGGCAGCCGCCACAACAAAGCTCCACAGCTGGTGAGAAACTGCCTGTGCCTGCACCTGTGTTGCTCCCCAGCCCTCCCCGTAGAGTGGGCAGGCACCGGAACCCCCTGCTCTGAATCGGTCAGAGCCAGCTCCTGCTCCTGCACCGACTCAGACTGGCCAACACCGCTCCTGGCGCCTCACGCCTGGCCGTGCCTCCCCAGATGCTCTCCCTCAACACTCAGGCCAACAACCAAAGAGACCACACCCACACCGCTGCCCTTCCTCTGCAGTGGAAAGCGCACTCCACGGTAACAAAGCAGCGGGTATAGACCACGCCTCTTTACCTTCCTCAGATATTGCCTCAGCCAGCTGCCAGGGGGTAAGCCGCACTGTGAGAGAACTCAACTACGGCTGCGGTTTCTCATGGAGGCTCAACTTTTGGCAGGAGGTCTGAGCGGCAGTCCTCTTGGCGGTGCGCCCGTGACTGATGGTCTCTTTCAACTGCCCCGTTACTCCCCTGGGAAGGACACAACCCTCGTGAGGATTGATGGACATGCTTTGACAGAACACGGTTTCATATCAAACTGCAAGATTCCAGGGGCTGCATAAAGCAAGTACTGGCTGCTCCCTTCTCATGACTCTGACCTCGCAAAAGTTTAGGTCACATTATGTGATAAATCTTAGGAGGAATGTCTCTAGAGAAAAAAGTGGTCTCCTAGACACAAAATGCCCATACATGTGCTTTCTCACATGGAAGCCACAAACCAAAATCTAGTGTTGGGGAAGAAGCCCAAAACTCGAATCCGATTTCACACCCAATCGGAGCGGGCAGGGACTATCAGCTACTAACGACTGATATGCTCGCTGCAGTGAGAGTGTACTGGTAAGCCACGTTCCAATGTCTGGAGGCATCTTGCTGCAAACAGAAAGGAGAGTAAGATGTGCGTGTTGATCTGAACACTAGCCAAGGCAGGGGAACCACTGGCCTGGGTCAAAGCCCGCTGACTGCAGACTGGGCTGCACAGACCTCCCTGCCTGGGCCAGGGAGCTTTAACTTACCTGCGGGGTTTGTAGGCCATCATGAAATCAAAACCAACCAAGTTCCCTCAGATGTGAACTCCTGAAAACTAGCTACCCTCCAGAAACTCAGAGGCACTCAAGGAGAAAGGAAGGGTCACGTCTGTCCGACCACTCTCCGCCCGCTGCGCAAGAGCCAAGCACAGGTACTCACCGTCCTCCATGTCCTCCTCCGTGTTGCTGTGCCCGTCGCTCAGGGCCACATTGCCGTTGATAACAGGGTTTTGAGTGATTCTGGGTGGGTCATCTGTATCTCCAGCTTCAAAGAAAACAAAAACACTCCATGGGTTTTACCTTCATGATTTTGATGAAATAAACAAGAATACATTCACTTTTGACAGCTTTCGCTGACTGGAACTCCAATTCTAGCACACACAAAAGATGCACTCTAATGCGTAGTTGCTAATGTTTAGTAAATATAAATTTTACTGCTTTCAAATGTTAAGGAAAGTCTGAACACAGGCTATTCACCACACAATCTGAGCCATTTGCAGTGATACTTATGTAATAAAGTTTTTTTGTACATTCCTTTATGTAAATTCTTATTATTTAACTCGTATTCTACGATAGCTAATGAGCTTTATTTAGGAACCTTTACATAACTGAAAACAACTACTTTGAAAAGGTTCTGTAATTTACTCAACCCTGGGGCCAACTCTGTGGCGCAGCGGGTAAAGCCACTGCCTGCAGTGCCAGCATCCCATATGGGTGCCAGTTTGAGTCCTGGCTGTTCTACTTCGGATCCAGCTCTCTGCTATGTCCTGAGAAAGAGTAGAAGATGGCCCAAGTCTTTGGGCCCCTGCACCCGTGTGGGAGACCTGAAAGAAGCTCCTGGCTTCAGCTCTGGCCATAGTAGCCATCTGGGGAGTGAACCAGCAGATGGAAGACCTCTCTCTCTGCCTCTGCCTTTCTGTAACTCCGCCTTTCAAATAAATAAAATAATCTTTAAAAAAAAAAAAAAACTCAACCCTACAAGCTCATTGAGGTTACTAAACAAACAGTACAGAGTATAACAAATGTCTAGAGCTTGTCACTTCAAACACAAGCCAGTGCCTTCAACATCTAATCGTCATACTCAAATGTCCTGGTGGATGACGTCTATATAATTACACAAAGAGAATGGAAAATATTCAGAAACCAAAATAAAATGAGCTTGTCATTATAAATGCTTGGTAAAATCTGGCTTGAAAAACAATCAGGAGCTTGAATGACAAATATGAGGCACATACTCCAACGTCTAATCACTGGCTCTATTCATCAGTTCAAAACACAGCAACTTGAAAGTAAAATAAACCACACCAGGCCATTAAGGCTTAGGGATGTTCATACTGCCCATGGAAATGCACTCTTTTACATACCACAACAGTTTGCTACACCTAATGCTGGTTCCATGCAGTCTACAGAACTGGCGTCCTGGTAGTGAGGCGCTCTCATGGAGTCTCAGGTACAAGAGAGGTGCTTCGGTCAACAGACATGGGTGTGAGTTGCATCTTCCCAATTCCAGAGCCCTTCAGCCTCTGGATCCAAATGCATCTTGATTCAGCACCAAGGACAGCATCCCTCCCAGTCTTCAAAATCCCAACTTCTGCTTCACCTCACAAAAATGTCTCTCCATTGATTCCTATACAAAATAGTGCTTTCTTCCCTTCTTAAAATACTCAAAATACTAAGAAACTTGTACTACCAGTCAAATTCAGACACAGACATTTCAGATTACTTCTGATCTCGATGAACTCAATGACTATGTTAAAAGTGGGGCCAGGCTGTGGCCTAAGGGGTAAAGCCGCCACCTGCAGTATGGGGCATCCCATATGGGCTCTGGCTGGAGTCCTCGCTGCTTCACTTCCGACCCAGCTCCCTGCTCATGTGCCTGGGAAAGCAGTAGAGGATGGCCCTAGTCCTTGGCCCCTGCACCCACATGGGAGACTCAGAAGAAGCTCCTGGCTCTCTGCTTCAGATGAGCGCAGCTCCGGCCATTGCAGCCAACCAGGGAGTCAATCAGTGGATGGAAGACCTCTCTCCCTCTGCCTCTCCTTCTCTAACTTCTGACTTTCAAATAAATAAATAAATCTTTTAAGAAAATGAAATGAGGACCACACATACTTGTAGGAAGTCTAAACTGTGGCAAGTTATATAACTCTGCAGCTGGTCTATAAATCTAAAGTGCTGTAAAGACAAGATCTTTTATTTTCTGTAACTTGTAACTGCGAGGTGTGTCAAGCGGCACACATCAGAGACAGCATTCCCATCTTCCAAGATGACTGTACAGCTAGAGCTGGGCCAGGCTGGATGAGGAACTCAATCCATGTCTCCCTTGTGGGTGGCAAGGACCAAACCACTTGAATGTCACCTGCTGCTTCCCAGGGTGTGCACCAGCAGGAAGCTGGGGTCAGGAAGGCATTCCAACAGGGACATGTGGGCATCCTAACACTTAGGCCAAATACCCACTCCAGATGAAAGTTATCAGTGATTTCAAGAGGACCACAGAAACCAGACAGTGAGATCCTAGTGAGTCTGGGTCATAGCTAAAGAAAGGTTCACTTTGGAGACTTGAGATACAGTATCTTTTCATCAAAAGTTATGGCAAAGTAAAAACCAAGGTCAATTCAAGGGATCCATGGATCCTCTAGTCATGATATCCTACAACATGGCATGGGAAAAAGAAAATCAGTAACTTGTAGCCCAGTCTCTTAGAAGTTGGACCAAGTGCAAAGGGATGACTTAAGAGAGATCAGCATTTTACGGCACCGTTCTATCCAGGAAGACAACTCCGAAGCAGTTCCCTGAAATGCACCAAACCACAAGTCAGGTTCCACATCTGGGCTAAATCCTCCTGAGCAGTGCCCCGGTTTTTACATCCAAATTAGCGTATTTATGTTGTTTGGACCAATTTGTCCCTTAGCACCCCTCACAGGCTTGGAGAGACAGTGAACAATGTCAGAAGAGGTGCAAAGGTAAGAGGCCACCGACCAGTCCCCCTGCACCTCAGGAAACGGACTTGGCTAACGCCAAGACCCAGAAAGTTCTCAACCACCCAGTGACTGAGTGTTGCAGTTCCTCATCAATGAGCTAGTTCTGAAAGAGAACTGAAAGTTTAAGACACAGTAAACCCTTGGACAGTTATCAAAGGGCCAAGACACAAAAAAACTTCCTTATAGGCTTCTAGAAACAGCCTAAAAGATGAGACTACCTTCGGGAAGAACCGTGTACACAACTGCATAAGTAAGTGCTCTACTCTTGAGCTCTACCTCTGCCTAGCTGGAATTTTATGCCATGTTAACTCTGATGTGGCTAACTTTCTGACAGAGAGCCATCTCAAATAATGAGACTGGCGATATGTTTAGCAAACACCAGGGACCACGTGCAATGCCCCAAAAAGAAGAAGTCCCTGATACGCTAAATGTCTGCAGGTTAAAATGAAGCAACTACCATTCAAAAATGTGCGTATCACACTGGGAAATACAATATTTCCATTAGCTGTTGACAGTGAACCTTTCAGCAACAAACCATGTGCTAGGTATCAGAGGCATAATTCTATATGTATGTGTAAAAGGTACAAAATGTGATTCCTTTAACACACCACAGGTTTCTAGCTTCTGTGTTTTCTCCGCTTTTATTGAGAGTGTCTATGCTCCCATGCAGCTTCCTCCCCACCGACTCCCACCTGTGATGTCACAGAACTACCTCAAAGAACACTGGCCAATTGCTATGGAAATCAGGCAGCACTAACTTAGTGTCTGAATTTCACACCTGGATGACATCCAGAAAAAGCAGGATTCCGATTTGTTGACTTTGACATCTGTCACTTCGCAAGTATCTACCCCTAAAAAGGTTAGGGTGTCACACCACAACCAGTAAAACTTCACAGCCTCCCAACTACAAGTTTCTGTGTTACCACCAGGTGGTGCCTTGGCCACAAAAATTCGGCTCTGCCTTAGATTCACAGGTGCCTCCACGCAGGGCTCCCATTCTGCCAACTGCACTCCGTTTCAACAGAACACAGGGCCAGGCCGCAGTCCCGGGCTGGCTGGAAGGAGCCTCAGAGCACACCTTCCCACCCAACTCCATCAGCTCACCTCAAGTTCCACGGCAAACCCCTCTGGCTTCTATGTGGTCCTCCTCCCTGCCCCTCCTATCTCCCGGCATTGAATCCATTTTTAAATTACTTAAAATAGAGGTTATCAAAGCAAATTACAACCAGTGTCTGCATATAAACTTGAAGCTGATACTTATTTCTCAAATCGTAATCCCACAAATATTTCAGAAGAACAGTTTATAAAACTCAGGGCTGGGTCTCCAAATCCATGGGCCAAGTAAGGAACCCCATCGCTATGCCAAATCACCTTGTCCAAGCCTGCGGTTCCCAGCCATGTGTGCATGGCCCTGCCGGGCAGTCTGCGGAGCCTGGGGGAGTTCTCTGGTCCAGAGCGGTGACTGCATAGAATCTCCAGAAGCTCTGCCCCAGCATTCTTTTCTTAAAGCATCCCACAGAATTCTTGTCTAAGGACAAGAAACACATTCAAACACCCTCATCAATTTAGAGGGCAACGTGGTCCAGGAACAGAAAGATGTTAGGAGTACTGGTGATATCATAGGGAGCTTCAAGTTTAGTTAACAGTGATGTTGGTTCCTTAGTTTTAACAAAGACTTCTTGGTGATGTGAATTGTTAGTGGGAGAGACCAGGTGAAATGTATATGGGAACGCTCTCTACTAACTTCGCAGCTCTTCTGTACACCTGAAAAAGCCAAAGATCGGTCAGCCTTGTGGCACATTAGGTTAAGCTCCTGCCTGCAATGATGGCATCCCACATGGGCACCAGTTCGAGTCCTGGCTGCTCCACTTTCAATCTAGCTCCCTGCTAATGCACCTGGCAAAGCAGTGGAAGATGGCCCAGCCCAAGTGCTTAGGCCTCTACATCCACATGGGACCCAGAAGAAGCTCCTGGCTCTCTGAAGAAGATCTCTCTCTGTCCCTCTCCTCCTCTCTGTAACTCAATTAAATAAGTAAATCTTAAAAAAAAGAAAAAAAAAAAGAAAAAAAAAGGCGTCAACATAGAGCACCTAAGAATCAAAATTTTCCACAATACACAACCACAGACAGCAAGGCTGAGATCCTTAAGCGATACCAGGGAGCAGCCAGCAGAATCACAGACAGCAGCGGACTCTGTGGGTAGAGGGTTCAGAGGGCTTGCAGCCGTGTACGGCATGGCAGTAGCCACCCTCAAATACCTGATACTCTCAAATACACGTTAAGTATTT